TTAGGTTTATATTAGTTGTGAAACTAACCAGACATGGTATCCATCCATTTGAATTAATTTGGTCGTTAGAGATTGCTTATGTTCAATTTGTATCCATAACTAATATAGATCTATCAGGTTTTTTATTAGAAATAAAATTAATAATAACAATAATAATAGTTCTAACACTAAACAAAATTTTAATCTAAATCAAACATGGAATTTTGTGTTGTGTTTTGTATTGTTTCAGGTTAAAAAATTTCTACAAAATGAAACTAAATAAAAAATATGTCTTCTATTCTTTTTTTTTTGTATTCATTGCATTATAATATATATTAGCTATAAAATCAAGTGGACATGTTATCCAACCATTTAAATTTATTTAATCATTATAAATTGTATATATTCAATTTGTATCTAGAACTAATATAGATCAATTAGTTTCTTATTAAGAATAAAAATGAATATAATAATATTAATAGCAACACTGAATAAAATTTGAATTTAACCTAAATATATAATCTAATGTTATTTTTGTTTTTAATTAAAAGATGTCTTCTATTATTTTTTTATTTTTTTGTACTCATTGCATTCAAATCATTTTCGTAAATGAAATTAGTTAGAGTAAAATCTCTATAAATTACCTAAAATTAATTTATCAACTAAATAATGGGTTTGACTGGTATGTCAATTTAATAGCTAAACAGCGGAATAACTGAATAATAAACTAGCGGAATCAATAGGATGTGTAAACTGAAAACTGAATATACTCAAAACGCTAAAAAGCTAGTATCTATTAGATAAATATATTTTTCTCAAAACTAGTTTTAAATTTAAAACGTGCAGAATAAATTGCAAAATAGCATGTTAATTTTTACTTTTTATCATTCAATGCTTAATATTGTGAATGATATGCATTTAGTGGAATCACGTTTCAAAACGCGAAAACATGAACTCATCAAGTTCCCATTGAAATAGGATCCACGCAAGGAAAAGCACTTGCCGCACATGTTCCTAAGAAAAGGGAATTTGTCAATTTTTCGAAAAAAGCTAAAATTTTATAAAACTTCATAATTTCAATATTATTAATTTATAGAGATTTTACTATAATTTATAATTTATTAATACGAAATCGACTTGTGCAGTAATATTATAGAAAATTATTGCATTTTACAATCTCTAAGATTTTAGAACCAAATATGTCCATATGCGAAAATAATATACCCATTAACATATATATTATTATCTCATTCGTTAAAATACATGTCTAGAATTAAGTTCACGGAGTTTGTTTTCTATCTGTAAACACAATGATTCTGGATTAGTTAGTTCATAAAGCTATTTAAACTGACAATTTAATAATATAAATATTCGTTTGTTGTAAAAAAAAAAATACATGTGTAAAGTTGAAGAATTATCTATCAATTTCAAAAATTAGGAGACAGAAGTTATGAAGAAAAGGTGCTATTCCTATTGAAATCCTTATGCAAACGAACAGAACAAAATAATCAAGTACCTCCAATGTATGATAAACAATTTGATTATGAGTTTAAAAATATGAATCGCACAGGCCACGCATGAGTCACAATTCACAAGCAATGAACAAATTGTGCCATCAAATAAATAAAAAGTGTGTTAACAAAATCGATTAAAATAAAAAGTAGATTTTTATCAAAAAAAAAAAAAAAGTAGACAAAAATATATTGTTGTGATTTGCACCGCAAGTTTCAACTATTCATGGTACCGCTCTCACTTTTTTCTTATGTCGAAAACAGCTTTTACAATTCCACCTAGACTTACCAAATGATTTTAAATCGCTTCTATCATCTATTTCAAATACTCATATTAGCCCACATCGATCCTTCTAGAATTGGACATCCAATTTATATGTGGTCAAAGTCTAATGTTTCTACAATTGAGGGAAGCCATTGTAGACCATTTAATACGCATTTAAAAGAGAGAAAAGACAGAAAAATAGACGTTAGATAGATACGTTAGATCATTCTAATTGAAACTGAAGCTATAAATTAGGAGTCTAAATGATTACAAACATAATGCATTCTCCAAGTATATATAGAAACAAATTTAAACGATCATAATGAACAACAAAACAGCAAAAGAAATGATAAAAGAATTTGATAATAATCATGATCATGATAAAATGTATGCATGTGGAAGATGATGGTGATGGTGCTGGGTAAAGCGTAGCTATCGCGTGCCAAAAATAGTGGCCTAGGCCCACTCCTCCACAGACCCAACCTTCTAAGCTATTCTAATTTTCTAGTAATTTTCGTTTTTTTTTCCTTTTTTCTTTTACGTGCATATATCTATGTTTTCATTTATCAGAAAAAGAAACTAGACATATAGCAAAAGCCTGCCATCTCTTACAGCCTCTCTCAGCTTTATCACGCGTCTCCTCTTACTTAAAAAAACATCAACATTAAACAGGCTAATAGTTTAATTCGTTTTGTTATGTCTACATTGTTACTACAAAATTTAGGATTTATTATTAATAGTTAACTCACAAAGCGGACGGTTTTGAAAATGGACTCTTGGTCCTATGCAAGTTGACCATTAAAAGAAGAAACAGTAAAGCATTGTTTTCAGAATTCAAAATTAGGCAAAAAAAAACAAAAGTTCAAAAACATTATTAAATTTTATTCGAATGCAAATAAATAATTATATTGACCATGCTCACACCTACTGTAGATAATTGTCACGATACCGAACGAAAAAGAAAAAGAAACACCATGTCTAGTAAACTAGGACTCATACTTCTCATGATTTCTGTTATGGTTATAAAATAAAGGAAAATAACTTTCGGTGTAAAAAATTTACCCTTTTTTCTCGATGACTTATGATGTCTGCTTCAAAGTATTAATACTCATGTCATGTGTATAGATAAATACATGGGATTATTATGTATCAAGGACTATAGTTTAACAAAAGGTCGATATCGTTTTGACTTTTTCAACAGAAACTTCTCTTGTTTTCTTTAAATATTCAAATTCGTCGCCCACTCTTTCGTTTTGTGTTTTAAACTTTAAACTATAACTTTACCTCTCTGTCTCTCGTTGTAAACTCGGAAGCTTCGAAACATGGCGAGGACATGTACGGAAGAAGAAAAGACCCTTTTGATCTCTCATCGCAACCAAGACCAAGAAGACGAAGAAGAAGATGACGACGACGACGAAGAAGAAGCGTTGTCTTTGTGTGATTTGCCGGTGAATTTATCTAATGAGAAAGTTCAGTTTCCGAAACGACCAAAGTCAGAAGAGGAATTTGATTCGGGGTTCGAATTTGAAGTCGGGTCATCGTTTCGGGTCGGGTCGGATTCGTGTGAACCGGCTCCGGAGATGAGCACGGCTGACGAATTATTCTCCAAAGGCCTAATTCTGCCGCTCCGTCACTCCGTCAGTTTAGACGCCGGACTTCCCGGGTCGGGCCGGTTGATTTCAAGATCCGAATCGGTTAGTTTCCGACGAGCCAGAGTCGGATCGGACCGGAAAATCAAAAACAATTACATCGATTACAGTCAACCGAGTCCACAACCGCAGATCAGAAGGTCATCGAGCATGACGGCTCGTGTGAATTCAATCAGAAACCCTAAATCATCCTCGATTTGGGATTTTCTCCGGCTAGGCCTCGTCCGTACTCCGGAGATCGAGCTTCGAACCGCCGGAAACGCGAAATTATCAGTGAGTCGAAACAGTAGCTGCAGTAGCACAAGCACGAGCTCGAATTCGAAGAAAACAGGATCAGGAGAATCGAGATCGCGGAATCGGAGAAGAAGTTTTTTGTTCGCGGATTGTAAGTGTTCGGTTTCGACGGAGACGATCGTACCTGTGAAAATTAATGTCTCCGGTGAGACGGAGGAGAAACAGAGGATGATGGAGAAGAAGAAGACGGCGAAGAAAGAGGAGAAAACGGCGATGGCGCGTAATAGAACGTTTGAGTGGTTGAAAGAGTTATCACAGGTAGGATTCGTCGTTGATCATGGAAGGAGAAGCTTGCCGTGATCTCGTGATGATGACTCCACCTAAAAACTTCATTTTCCTTAAATATTTTAACTGTATTTTTTTGTGTTTAATCATTTGATACGTAATTATCTTTTTGTATGTTAGTGTAAATTTTCAATTATACTTATTAGTTTTTCCAAATGACCCCTTCATGTGTTTAACCAACAAATGAACAGAGTAGACATGAGAGGCGATTTATACACGTATATATATGATGGTATGAAAGCGAAACATCATTTAAAAAACGAGAATGATGTGAAAGTGAAATATCATATGGGTGTGCTTACTTTATTATTTTTGTTTTTTTGTTTTCCATGATCGATTCTTCTTAATAAGTAGTGGTGCTTGGCATGATTAAAGCAATGATGTTTATATCTAAGACGTGAATTTATCACCATCATATCGTATAATATAATGTTTTCCCATTATATAACTCACAACTGAAAGGTCTTTATTCACTTATGAGTAGTTATGACCGACCACCATAGGCAGCTAACAAAATTACCCAAAACTTGCAGGAAAATATCAAATGGGCCGCTCATCAGTTCAAATGTGGCTAATTTCTTTAAATACATCAAACTTGTGGCTAACTTCCGTTAATAGACCAAATTTCTGGCGAATTTCCGTAAATAAGCCAAACTTTTGGGGCATTTCAGTAAATACTTAAGCGTTCTGAAGAATTTCCGTAAATAAACTACAATACTGGGGTATTTCCGTAGACAACCCATACATACATCTGGGGGTATTTTCTAATTCACCAAAATACTGGGGCATTTCCATAAATAATCCAAAGTTACGGGGCAGTTCCGTAATAACTGAGCGTCTGAGGAATTTTCGTAAATAAACGACAATACTGGGGCATTTCTTTAGATATCCAAACTTCTGTGTCAATTTCGAAAATATCTGAAAGTTGTGAGGCAATCCGTAGACAAACCATACTTCTGGGGGTATTTTCTAAATCACCAAAGTATTGGGTCATTTTCATAAATAAGCCAAAGTTATGGGGAATTTACGTAATAACCATATCAACTATATATGAATTAAAAAATATTTGCTTTTAATGAGATTCACTGTTCCACTATATAATGTTACATAAAATATGTATATCGTATATGTATGTGTATAGAGGTTAGTACATCCTGCGCATTAAACCAAGATCAGCCTCTCCTCTGGGTGGCTTGTTTTTGGGCTTTAAAGTACTTAAGAAGATTCTGTGCCTGAAAGAAAGCATAGAGGAAGAGTTATACTGTTACTTTAAAATCATGGAGAGACATATCAAAAGAAGAAGAGGAAAGAGCACGAAAAAGGGGACCTTCTCTTTGGCTCTAGGTGTTCCTAATTTAGTAAGAGCCACGAGAGGTGGAATAGCTCCTTCTCTGATGACACGGTTGCAGAATCTCGGGCTATGCATACAAAGCTGCAAAAGTGCTGCAGTTGCATTCTCTTTGCCTCTCGCTGAACCCAACTCCATAACTTCCACCAACACCGGTATCCCTCCTTCTTCTCCGATCGCTATCTTTCCTTCTTTCGTGGTTGCAAGATTGGCCAACACAACCACTGCTTTCTCCACCATTCCAGCTCCAGGATCCATCAACTCAACCAAGTACCTAACCGCACCTGCTTCGATTACTTTCGCCTTGTTCTCGTGGTGTATCGAGAGGTTGAACAGAGCCGTGGCTGCGTCTTTCTTTCCCCTCAGGCTCCCGCTTCCCAAGAGCTCAACGAGCGGCTCTATGGCTCCTGCCTCTCCTATCTTTGTCTTGTTCTCTTCGATCACCGACAAGCTGAACAGAGTCGCTGCTGAGTTCTCTCTGGCTTCTAGGCCTCCTGTCTTGAGAACGTGAATGAGCGGCTCGATGGCTCCACTGTCCGCGATCACGGATTTGTTGTTGTCGTTGATGGATAAGTTTAGCAAGCAAGTCACAGCGTCCGCTTGCGTTCTCTCATCCTCGGAGTAAAGCAGATTGATTAGCGAATTAATTGCTCCGCACCTCGCGATCACAATGCGGTTGTCTGTACTGTTTCTTGATAGGATCCTGACCCGACCTGTTGCCTCTCTCTGTGTATCGATGGAGTGGCTGTTGAGATCCTCGATCAGTTTCTTCACCTCTGCTTCGATGCTCGAACTGCTTCCAGTTTCTTTTATGGTCGCTGGGTGACGAAAATGCCTCGCTGATGGAAGCCGCCACACGGTTTCAGCCCGTGCCTGTGAGACTGATGATGTATCAGCAGCAGCAGCATTATGAGTGCTTATTTCGGTTTTGGAAAGCACTTCAGAGACAATGCCTGGTGCAGAAGTAGACCTACTCAGGACCTGACGCAGCTCCTCGCTTTCGTTAGCATCTAAAGATTCTGTGTGGCCATGTGATGATGAAGCTCTCTCTGACTTATCCAGCATTGGTTGGTTGGTTCCAGAGAGAGGCGAGTCATCTGTAGAACCTGATTCAACAAGAAGAGGGAATGGGCGACTTGACTGGATCAACTCCAATGGATCAGGAGGATTGACATTGTTTGATTCACACCAGTTGGCAATGAAAGCCTTGACGATGAAGTTAGCTGTGAGCGTGGTATGAGGTAAAGCCTGCCTTGTCTTTGGGCAAACCATGAGTCCCATCTCGAACCATTTCTCGATAAAAACACGTTCGTATGTTTGACCAGAGGCCACAATGACTGGATCAGTCATGAGCTCAAGCGAGAGAGGGCAGCGGAAGTCAGCCGGTACAGGGACCGGACAACGCAGCTGAGACTGCTTTATGTTGGTTAAGTGATCATGCATTTGGGTTATCAGAGAGATCAATCCATCTATAAACTCTGCTTCGTTGTTGTTATCAGTGAGCTCGGCATTCTCCTTCAGATTTGCAAGTGCCACACCTTCAATGAGAATCTCCTGGTTTGATCTCAAACCAATACTCTTGGCAATATTCACCAGAACCTCTGAAGTAGGTCCAACACCTTCCCTTTGATCTATGAGAGCTAGATCGATCGTAAACGAAATCTCCTCTCTTCCCACTAACTTCACCAGTTCTATGCAGTCCTGCGATATGAACATAGAGGAAGCCACCTGATCAGTTACTAGATCCTAAAGAAAACTACACACAGATTCTCAACTTGTGCTTAGATTGCAGGTTGCTTTACTTAAAAAAAACAAACAAATATCACCTGAAAAAAGCAGAGCAAATTTATGATTCAGATGATGAAGCTAACATCGAGATTTTACCTCAAATGATGGTGAAATTAAATCGGCAGGTAAATGTTGTTCGCAGTGTTTCAGCAGCTGAAACACTTCCAAACTGGACTCACGCAACTTTGATGCTAATGATTCAATTCGAAGAATCTGAGGAAACACAAGATAATAGATATAGCAATATAAGAGATCAACTTTTGAATGGGGAGGAGATTCAATAATTTATAAAATATGTTTTGTTTACTTACATAAAAGATTCTGCTAGAAAGAGGTTGCCAGGTCTCAAACTGCTCTCTGAGTTCATCAACGTACTGAGATAACTCTTCAAAGCCGTTGTTAAGCAATTCGGTAGGAGCAGCATCAGAGCCAACAAGGTTCTCAAGAACAGGCTTAAGAAGCGTTGCTATCTCTTCCCCTCTGGTGTAGTACTCACGAGCTGGGTTTGAATCTAAGTTGTCCATCGATGATAAGCTTAGGAACGAAGAGATGTTATCCAGGAGAGATCTTAACCAAGACACCTCCATATTTACCTTCAGTTACCAAAACAAAAAAAAACAAGAACAGAGTTAATGATTGTAAGAAAATTACAAAATCCAAGGTAGTTTATTTTAGGCATCCGAGCCAATCAGAAAACTTACCATCATATGTAATGAAATTAAAATAGTCGATGGAAGACTGGTCTCTAGAAGCTCTCCGAAAGTTTGAATCAAAATTAGTAATCAAAGCCCCTGAAACAAGAACTGCAAGAACACCAAGTAAGAACAAATTCAGTTTTTTTTTAACTCAAGATTCCAAAAATCACCTCACCTAAGCTGAAAATTTAACTAACAAAGAACAACCACGGGTTAACCCTAATTACAGTAATTACACATTTGATTTGCTTCATGGATATGCCAGATTATGTTTTATGAATAATACGAACCAAATCATATGCAAAACACAGAGAAGCAATACAAGGATCCCGCATTAAAAAAAACATAGAAATTAGAATTAAGATGCTTAGTCAACCCTCAAGTCAATATGAGAAAACCCCATAGAAACTCTAAATCGAACATCACTTTGAGCTTTATTTAGTGGTTTAAATCAAAACGAAAGAGAAGAAGACGAAGAATCAGTTGATGACGATGAAATTACCTCGCGGGAATGGCAGTTTCAGCTTTCTCTCTCTCTCTCTCTCGGAGACGACGAGACTTAGAACAGTGGAAGCGCGGTAAGACCAAATCCTTCATCGCCAAGATTAGCAATTTATTTTCCTCTCCAAAATGTTTAATTAAGTTAGTGGTCTACTTAGTCGTAATTAGTCCTTCAATATCAATACTTTTTTGGTGTTTCTTCATAAATGTAGCGAGTCCTTACGTCAAACCTTGTTAGGTGGGTTCTATTATTAAATACATTATTCAAATCTTTTTGTGACTTTTAGTGGATTGTTTTTTGGGTTTGGATTAAGACATGCTGCTCCTGTTTCGGTATTCGTTTTATGTTGATGCTTTTATATTTTTGTAGTCAGTGAACTTTTCGTAATCAACGAAACGTTACGTGATGTAAATAATATGTACCTCTCGAGTCGTTATTAACCCAAAAAATTTCGTAATCAAGTACTACAAACTTTCTAATTAAAAGGAAACAATTTCCTTAAACGACTAATACTTATTGTTTGACTTAAGGCTGCTTCCTTTACATTTGACCAATTCTTCCATGTTCTCATTTTTATTCTGAGTATTGTTTAATGAGTCTAATTTAAGTTCATACTATTGGAGCTAGATAAACAACACAAAAAACTAGTTCTGGTTTTTTTGTTTCCAACTAATACAGTCCTAATTTTGGTAAAATTGTTGTGTTTGCTTTGTTTAATGAAAATGAGTTTTGTCATTCTATGTTCTGATCAAACTGAGTTAAATTGCAAATAATTCAGATTCAAACCATTGTGTGTTTGAATAAATGAACATTATGTACGATGGAGAATATACTATTATTAGGGATGGATCATTTATTTTATTTTTTTTTGAACAAAAATTGTCCTTGAAACATATGAGAGGTGATGTTCTCCAAGTGTTTGACAAAATTCCAATACGTTCTCATTTAATACAACTACATACTTTTATACATTTTCTAATAATCATGTGTTTCCTCTCAGTCCTTTACATCATGAACCTAAGGTTAACCAAACTTAATTTGATTTATCAAAACAAAAAGATGAGTGGATATTAGAAAGTGTTTACTACAACAGCTAGTATTGGTATGGGACATGTGTAGTCAGCATTCTTCACTGCATTAAAGATGAAAGTGTAGACATCTTCTGCTGTCACATTATAGGGTATTAGACAGTTTTCGATGTCTCACCACATTAAGGTGAGAGCATCAGCACTTACAGGGGTTGGACGAGGAAGTCTTTGTCGTCGGAGATTATGAGGTGGTTGATCAGAGGTAATCTTTCATAATCACCATCAATCGTTTGCAAAATGCCGGTTACAATGTTATGTTGGTGTTTCGTCATCACGCTACTAAAGAAAGCTATCAGAGAAAGAATGATGAATATCCTGAGATCCAGGTGGACTTGGAAGTTTATGATGCGTCCACCACCAAGATGCAAGCCATTAAAGAAAAAGAGATGATGATAAGAGTGACAGAGAGAGAGAGGCAAAGCAATAAGGAGAATCGAGGTTTGAATGAAATCAGAGTTTTGTTATAGATTAAATCAGAGGATATCATTAGAGATTACTATTGGATCGGATCCTTTGAATAGAGACATCATTATTTTTTGTGAGATTTGCTTTAATTTTTTTTTTATCCATAAACACGCGGTTTGCCGTCTCAAAGGTCTGTTAGTCAAACTCAACAAATATAAACCTAATTTTTGTTTGTTTGTGAACTTTTCAATTATATTAAATACAATTTTGCGGAGCTTAATTTCGCTATTAACAACTACAAATAAATTTATTTTAAATGCATGAACTAGCTTCATTATGGATTTCTGATATTGTTTAATGGGTCTAATTTAAGAACTGAAAAGGTTCATACTATTGGAGTTAGATAAACAACACAAAAACAAATAAAGTAATTTACAATTATAAAATAAAATCACGCCCTCCCTTAAATATGAAAACGCAATCTCACGGATAAAAATTTCATACTACATCTATTAACTTGATAGAAAACGGTCGAGTCAAGTCTTACACAACTACCAGAGGATATCGTATTTTCTGGCTTGTGCTTCAGATAATTGTGTTATCTGAAGCACAAGCCAGAATCTGAAGATAATTCTATCATTCTTTTTCAGATTATAATTGATAGAAAAAGGTACTTCAGATTATAATTGATAGAATTATAGTTGTACTTCTTGATAGAAAAAGGTACTTCAGATTCTAAAAGAAAAAGAAGAAGTCCCAATTATCTTCTTCCAGAACTACACTCGAAAACCATAAACACTTATATTACAAAATAAGTCACGACATCGCCACCATACCAACTTTCTACTGCTTGTTTCAGTTTCCACAAATTTTGCTATTGAGTAAAAAGGACTCATCTCTTCTGGTTCAAGAAAGGTCTTTTACTTACTCATCCTCCCTCTCTGTAACTTTCTGTGAAGCCACTAATTGCCAAGGAGTGTAGGTGAGGCCTCTTGAGATAAGGTAAAGCACAAACAGAACATACGCAACAGCGAATATGATCACGAGCACGAGCAGCACCACACTCGTCGCAGCTCCTGAGAAGAAATCCACCATTAGATACCCATTAATGGCTATCACAAGAGCAGCTACGATCCATGAGATTGTTTGCACCAAAGGTTGGATTTTGAAGCTGCCCATGATTTGCTCGTTCGAGACCAAGCAGAGGAGAGGGATAACAGCGAAAGGGATCTGAACAGACTGAAGAACGTTTAGCCATTCGTTAAGCTGGTCGAGCATAGAGTCGGAAGAGTCAAAGACGAGCGCGACGATCATCGTCGGGATGATCGCGCAGCTTCTTGTAATCAAAGCTCTGACCCATTTCTTCATCTTGAGATTCAAGAACCCTCCCATTATGAATTGTCCGGCGTAAGTACCAGTGATGGTACTACTCTGACCAGCAGCCAAGACTCCGATCGCCCATATGTAGAGTATCGGGAAAAACCCGCCACCATACTTGTCCTGTAAGTACTGCCCCGCGTTTGCAAGACCGATAGTGTCCGCTATGTCTGTACCGTAGAACGATTTGGCAAACACGGTGGTCACAAAGACGTTTATTATGAAGGAAACCGCGAGAGCACCGGTTGATTCAATGGAGTAGTACTTGAGAGCTTCTTTGACCCGGAATCTCTTTTTAGGATCGACTTCTCTCGACTGCACAAGCGCTGAATGCAAGAACACGTTGTGAGGCATGATGATACATCCCACGATTCCTACAGCTTGCTTTATAGTCCTGGAACTGAGTTTTGGGACTAATGCTCCTGCAGAGAAACATGATAAAGGCACCATTTTTTAGTTTCTCCTCTCCAAAACCAAAAATAAAGGTGGAAGAATCAAAATGCTTTTAAAGTCTAACCAACAAGGAGTTCGGTTCCACTGGGTTTTGTCTGACCAAACATCCAAGCAAATGCAAGCGCCATTGTTGCAATCAAAATAGCAAACACAGCTTCTAGTTTCCTTATCCCGTAATTCTCCAGAAATAGAAAGATGAAACTGTGAACAACCCACCACCACACATTCTGTTAAAGCAAAGAAGAATCCACTCTACAAAAACCCCCAAAAATATTCCAAAATTAGGGATTTTTTCAAGTTAATTAAGGAAACTTACCAGTCGAGGGCAGTGATTACAACACCAGCCCAGAGAGGGATGAAGCCATTAGACAAGATCTTGATGGCTATGGCACTACCGATAACTTCCTGAATATCGGCACCGATCAGAGCAATCTCCGCCATAATCCAAAGCACCATCCTCGCCCAAGTCGGATACTCTTCGCGACACAGCTCCGCCAGATGTCGACCGGTTGCGACGCCGAGACGAGCGGAGAGGAGCTGAATCAGAAGCCCGATCGCCGTAGCCCACATCAAGAGCCAGATCAAAGAGTACCCAGCGATGGCTCCAGCTTGAAGATCGCTCTCGAGGTTACCTGGGTCGAGGAAGGCGATGCTCATCAGAAACCCAGGTCCAGTGAACAGCCATAGCTTCTTCCACGAGAAGCGAGGCGAGTTCCCGAGCTCGTCGCCGTAATCACCGTCTTCTTCTTCGTCGACTCCGACTATGAGAACTTTCTCGGTTTCATCATAAGCTCTCTCCTCCGAAGCTAATAACGGACGCCCTCTCTCCGTCTCCGGCATATTTTCAGGTACCGGCGATTGGATAATTCGGATTTTGCTAATGGGAGTGTTTGAAATCGGTGCGACTGTCTTTCTAAAGCCCAAGAGGTATTTGTTACCTTCACATTTTGCTACTGGTTTATCTCTATTGCCTTATATAATCAGTTTAATGATAGATAATACAGTTTCTTCCAATTATATTACGCCACGTCAACAGGTATTGTTTGTGAACCGCAGGGATAAATTTGTGAACAACTCGGGCGAAATCGTGTGAAGCTCGGGATTATCGAATCTTCTTGGGAGTATCACTATCCTCAAGAGAATTAAATTCTTAATAAAAATAACTAAAATGGGCCTAAGAAATTACTTAGTTTTTAGCACATACGCCATCTATTAAACTTTAATTAATAAAGAGAAAGAAATATTGCGACAACATGGCGAATCTTTTCATTTACAAGTATTTTATTTTTCTTTGCTGGCTTATTGTTATAAAATAACTTTGAATTTCTATAGGTTTTGGAGATTTGTCTAATTGTTCTGGTTACGAAAAAGTTTGTGAGCCGTGGTGAAGAGTAACAAAAGAAATCGGTTAAGAAGAAGAAGAAGGAAGCGTGGGGGTTGCAGGACAGAGGACACCGTCAGCTCTCGCCACGTGCCATCATCCACTTTCATAGTTTCACACCTAACGGTGTACGACGGACATAAAGACAGATTTTGTCTTACATTATGTAATAAAATCACTCACCTTCAGCATATATCTGTAAACCATTCAACTTTTATGCAGTTTGTCTTCGCTCAATTTATCATAGCTACTCGTCAGTCAAACCCAAAAATCGCCAAGATTAATTAAGATTTTAAAACAATCTAAAGTAGTACAGTTTTTGACTTTCTTTTTTTCCGAATATGGTGTTGTTAATATGTGCAACAACAAAAACAAGGCTTGGACTGAGAGTGTTTAGGGCCTACTACACTTTTTTAAAAGCTACATTCTAAAATCGAGAACGCAGACCGAGTTATCTGCGAAGCAAGCTGCGATTTTGTTGCCTTCTTTGTTCCAACACACTTCGAATATTCCTCCATTTCCTGTGTATGTCTTCACGATTTTGCCTTCTTTTAATGACCATATGTGTATCGATTTGTCCAGAGACCCACTCGCTATGTACTCCCCGTTTGGACTAAACGCCAATGAGTAAACCGGTTCCCTTCAAATTCATCACCATTTCAGCTTTTGTTACAACCAATGGTTCATTAAACCGCGATAACCACAAAATCATCATATCTCGAGGGTAAAGTTTACCTGTGGCCGTTGAAACTACATAGCATCTTTCCGAGTTCTGCATCCCACAGCTTGACTGTTGAGTCAAATGATGCACTGTTCCCATTCAAAGAAACAACACAAAGAGTTAAGGAATCATCTGCTGTTACAATGGCACTTTGTTTGCAAAATATTCAATATGTTAAAGCGTTCTATAACCTCGCAAGAGTTAGCTGTTTGTTAGGATTGTTAGTTCCTGGTCCTGTAGGGCTCCATCTGATTGTATAGATTTCCTGAATAAATGTAGTATATCCATCTTTAGACGCTATTAAAAAAAACAAAAAATTATTGAAAATCTCAAGGCTTGGTCGATTTATGTTTACCTTAGTATGCTCTCGGAGGTCATGAACAAAGGTTTGTTGTTTTGTATTCCATATCTGAAGAAAAAAAAAAGCCGCATAGCATTACATATAATGAGACAGAAAAGCCGAACATAAATGAGTCAATTTAAGTCAACGGAAATTATTGAGGAAAACCTTAGCAGTACTATCATCTGAGCATGAGGCCAGTAACGAACCAGTAGGATCCCATTTCACGCAATTAACCTCACCCTGCAATTATGGAAGCACCGAGTATGGTTAGTGATTAGACAAATATCAAACTGGTGTAGGACTTCACACTGAGAAACCTAAAACATAATGATAATATATCCCGAGAAACTTGGATGAGAGACACAACCTGATGACCACCAAAGGCTTTGATAGGCCGAGTTTCTCCAATCTTACACAAGTAGATCATGGTGTCCGTGGAACTCGTTGCAAAAGACACATTGTTGCGCCAATCAACATCAAGTGTTGGGCCTGTATTACCAATTGTATCCAATGTCATATGCCTGACAAGACTTTATTCAAATTAATTATCAAAAACAAAAAAAACAAAAATTGTTACCTGAATGAAATTCAAATTGTTGCTTCCATTCCTCTGCCTTTACATCCCAAACAACAGCAGTTCTATCAACACTTCCGGTTAGAAGATAATCACCCTTCTTGTTCCACTTTAGGGAAAAAATAGGTCCCTTGTGTTTGCTCAGAGTACTTATCAAGTCACCTGAAAATGTAAGAGGAGTAATTTTCCATTCAGAAGCTAGCTCTCAAAATCATACTAAAAAAAGTGGGTAAATTTTTTGGCTAACGATCCAGAGTGATAATGGTTTTAACTAGCTGATATAGTATTTTTGCTTCAATCGCAGAACTCGTGTTACTATCAAAGCCCACACGACTTGAACATCACAGATTTTAGTTCACGCTAATAGGAAACATAGAGATATTAATCTAGACATAATATGACTGAGCCTCTTCATCAATCCATGATAAAACTAAGATTAACTTCCAGAAAACAGAGATGCTAGTGATACAAGGGGCTAACTCGTACAAGCAGTAACACCAGAATGAACGTGGACATACCATTTGTATTCCAGATTCTTGCTTGGCCATCACATGAACCAGTTGCAAGTAAAGTCCCCTCACCCTGAAAATTCAGAAATCACAAACAAATTAGCAGAAACCAAGGCACGAATCCAGAAATGCTTCATATATTCTCTGCCTTTTGAAGAATAAAGGACACTCAGAAATTAGTAGTATCCAAGAATAGATATTATTAAAATGTGAAAATGCAGCAGCCCTCACATTCCAATCAAGAGTGGTCACATCCTTGCTCTTCTCGTTTGACTTTCCTTTTGCATGTTTCAGGATCAAAGCGCTGATACTACGATGAAATCCAGATTTCAATGGCCCTTCCGGAATACTCCAGATTCGTGCTGTTGCATCACCAGACCTGATATTTTGCAAAGGGCATGTAAATGGAATAAGAAAACAAATGCAAGTGCTTTATTCTTTCTCAACAAAACTACTTACCCTGATGCAAGCAATGAAGCAGACGGACTCCATGCGCAAGCACAAACCTATATCAGCCATATACACAGAATCGTAATCTTAAGATAACAGTGACTAGAGTTCATGAAATAAAGACCAGTAAAAATGGATAACAGATATAGAACATGTTCATTTAACGGATAACGTCACCTAATAAAGTACCTCGGAAGTATGCCCTTCCAAAATCCTCACATCAGAACTAGGAATGTGACTGGCCTGAGAAGTAGAAGTCATCGTAATATCCATAGGTTCTGCGCCTATTCAAAGAAAGAAATAAAAAAACACAGATTCATATTGGAAAGTAGATGCTGCAACCTCACAAATTATATGCAAAGTCTAAAGACTGACCTGTAGAACGCCCATGCTCATCATCCCCAGCAGTTTCTTTGTCACTTTGGTCAATGACCATGTCCCTATCACCATCTCCAAGCTGTTTTTCATGGCTCTTTTCCCTCTCTATCTTCTCTCTTTCCCTCTCCCGTTCCATTTCTCTTTCCCTCTCCAACTTCAATCTCTCCCTCTCCCTCTCGAATGTTTCTCGTTCCATCTTCTCCCTTTCCCGTTCCTTTTCTCGCTCCACCTTCTCTCTTTCTCTCTCCTTTTCTCGTTCCATCTTCTCCCTTTCTCTCTCTCGTTCCTTCTGTTTCTCGTGCCTGTCCTTTTCCTTCACTCGGTTGCGATCTCCTTCGTGTTCTCGTTCGGCCTCTTTATCGTTCTCTTTAGATCTTTCTTTTTCCTTCTCCTTATCCCTCTCTTTCCTCTTTCTTTCCCTCAGCATCTCCTGCAACTCCTTTACATCCTTTGAGATCAGATCCAAGGGTTGAAAGAATGAGAAATCCTCATCAATGTCCACTTCGCCCTGCGAGTAAATATAACAAAACTCAGTCTAGCTAGACCAAACACTGTGTAGGAAACACGAGAATCGAAGAAAAAACTTGGAGAACTATACAATACATTGGTCAAATTTGCTTCCATCTCCATGTACTGGAGTCCTTTCTGAACAAATTTGATAAGAGCACCAGGCGGAACCATATTCCCATCAATGGTGGATTTATTTATCCCTGCCTCGTACCCTAGAGTGAATGCAGCGTGTGTAAACCCTGCAAAAACCAAAATAGGAAAAGAAAAACAGAGCATTAACTACTACTACTACTACAAATCTAACATACAAATCTAACATAGGTTCTAGTGAAAAGTCTTCAGGAACAGAAAACACAAGCTCTCAGAGCTCACATGGAATTACTAATCAAAACAGAATGTGCAGAGAAACCTAGAGTCGCGAGTTTTTCATATGAACTAGAAGATCTACAGGATCCTGAACCAACGATTCTAAAAATCTACAGTTTTTTTCGTACAATTCGTGAAACCCTAAGACGAATCCAAGAAAACCCCTAACGAATGTTCGAGTTCGTAGGACCAGACTACGACATTCACAATTCAAATCAAAAACAGCCTGTGGCCTAGCGGAACAGGTACCAATTCAAAAAGAATAATCTGCAAAAGCAAGGAGAGAATGAGAGAAGGCTATTTACTGTACCTGATTCCTGAAGATACCGGAAAACCAGAAAATTCAATTCGACGGAGGTGAGTGTAGACATCTTCAAAATCCCAATTCTCGCTTCAAATCACAAGGAAGAAACAAGAAAAGAGATAAGAATCGAAGAAAGAGTTCGAACAACAACGTCGCCCCAAAGAAAGGAGCATGAAATATATTTCTCGAGATTTTAAGCTCTGCTTCTCTCATGACTATCTCAGACTCTCTTAAGCATAAACCAACTTACCCGCATGATGGTCCTAATGGGCCTAACATTATCCAATAACTTCATCTTTTGGGCCAAACCAACTTAACATGTCATCATCGGTTTATTTATCACTTATTTCAGTATAGTGGGAACGCCTCCGTTATCCTTGACTAGTCTCCACGAATTCAGAAAAAAACCGTTGAGATGTTTAATTTGGCTTTCTTCGCTCTATTCGCCGGAGTTATTGCAGCTGCGTATCTTTATCTTTTCCGATCAAAGCAGAAGAAGAAGAAGAGTTTACCGCCAAGTCCAGTGGGTTTTCCGGTGATCGGACATCTCCACCTCCTGAAAGAACCTGTTCACCGTTGCCTTCGTGACCTTTCTCGAAACCTTGGTCCCGTGTTTTCTCTCCGGTTAGGCTCTCGCCGAGCCTAGTCGTGACGTCAGCTTCAGCTGCGGAGGAGTTCTTAAGTAATCGGAACGATGTCGTTTTTGCCAACAGGCCAGTCAGTGCCTTGGGTGAGTACGTTGGTTACAACAACACGGTGATAAGCGCAGCACCGTACGGCGAGCACTGGCGCAATCTACGTCGTATCTGCACCGTCGAGATCTTCTCCGCCGCTCGTCCCAGGGACTCGGTTGAAATTCGGAGAGACGAAGTGAGAGCTCTGCTTAGGAAAATCCACGTGGCAACATCGGGAGGAGATGCTGTCGGATTGCAACTCAGACCGTTGCTTTCTGCGCTTACGTTTAACGTTGTTATGAGGATGGTCGCCGGAAAACGTTACTACGGCGACGAAAACGATGAGAATAAAGAGGTTCGGGAGCTGATTAGGGAGGCGTTCGCGCTAGGTGGTATCACTTACGTCGGAGATTTCCTTCCGATTGTGAGCCTGCTTGATCTCGGTGGATACGTAGAGAGAGGTAAGAAACTCGGTTCGAAGTTGGACAAGTTTCTACAGAAGCTGGTCGACGAGCGCCTGAGAAACAGGGGAAAAACAGAGGCAGAGAACTCGATGATCACTCATTTGCTATCTCTTCAAGAATCAGAACCTGAGTATTACACCGACGAGATCATCAAAGGACTCGTACTGGTTCGTGACTTTTTTTTTATTATTCTTTTTGATTCCTAATAGATAATTAGGAAAATCGAGACTGAATCTAGAAGCATTGCAGGTGATGTTGCTGGCTGGAACAGACACAACGGCGGTCACATTGGAGTGGGCTATGTCTATTCTTCTGAATCATCCGGAGGTTTTAAAGAAAGTGAAAACGGAGCTGACCGACGTCGTCGTTTCGAGTGAAGGTCGTTTGATGGAAGAGAGAGATGTGGACAAGTGTGCATATCTCAACAATGTGATCGCCGAGACTCTCCGTCTGTATCCAGCAGCGCCGTTACTAGTCCCGCACGCGTCGTCCGACAACTGTGAAGTTGCTGGATATGATATTCCACGTGGCAGTTGGCTCGTCATCAATGCGTGGGCTATTCAGAGAGACCCGAAGGTATGGGATGAGCCAGATGCTTTCAAGCCAGAAAGGTTCGAATCAGAGACCCATCGTGGCAAGTTTATACCTTTTGGTATAGGTCGAAGAGCGTGCCCTGGTATGGGTCTTGCGCAACTTGTATTGAGCTTGTCTTTAGGCTCATTGATACAGTGTTTTGATTGGGAAAGAGATGATGCTGTGGCAGTTGACATGTCGAAAGGAAAGGGTCTTACCATGCCTAAAGCTGTGCCTTTAGTTGCCAAATGCAAATCTTCACCAATCCTCCACAAAGTTGTCCTTTAAGTTTGATCATTTCATCTAAGCCCATATATTGAACTGAATAATTATACCTGTTTTTGTTAAATAATGCAATTTTCTCCACTATATTTTCGTTAACATGCCGTTCAAAATAAAGTAATATTTATTCTTAATAGATTTAAGAGAAACTTCAAAAGTAATATTTCGTTTTGTCTCTAGCTCCATGAATCGAGATCTGTTCACTCGATGTCTCTACTATACATTTCTTAGAAACCCAAAATTCTTATGCCTAAGCCACAGGAGAGAAACGGAGCTTTCTTTTTTCATCTCCAAAATGCCATGACCATTTCATGTAACATTCCTAAAATCTCACTTCTCTACTCGATTCTCCCAACTCCAATTTGATTCATCGGAATCATTCCTTTATCCCTGAATCCTCCGAGGAATCCACCATCATTGTTGTTTCTCTGCATCTCCGCCATGTAACTCCTCACCTCCGCCTTAATCATCTCCTGCACCACCGCCATAAACTCACCACCGTTTCCGGCAAACGATTTCCCAATCTCTTCAATGGCACCTCTGAATCCACTAGAAAACGGTAAAAACGATCCCGCCGTAATGTTGTTCTGCCGGCTCGAAGTGTTGTTATTCGTTGACTCGTGACTACGGTTTGACTCCTCGCTTACGTCAGCACCAGGAAGCGACAAGCTCAACGAAGTCGGTGGGTCATCGGAAGACGACGACGTTTCGATAGGAAGCGGCAACACAACACCACCAGCACGAGGCATAGGCTTGAAAAGCTCAACAGAAGGCAAAACCGGAATTGTACTCGAATCGCTGACGTCAGATCCAGTTGGGCTTCCTGGGCTCATATAAAGCCCAGTAGCAACCGGTGGAGAACCGTCGCTCACCGATCTCTTCATCGGTCGATGATCCTCAGCCGAAGCGTCGAAACGGTGATCGTAGCCACCGCATTTCCTCTTGAGCGTCGAGTTCCAGTGATTCTTCACGGCGTTATCCGTACGACCGTTGAGAAGCCGAGCAATCGTCGCCCATTTATTACCGAACTGCGCGTGAGCACGAGCGATCGTCTCGTCTTCCTCCGCCGAAAACGGCCGGTGCTCAACCTGCGGCGAAAGCTGGTTGCACCACCGTAACCGGCACGATTTTCCCGATCTACCAGAAATCGATTTGCTAATCACCGTCCAATTTCTCGGACCGTATTTAACGACTAGCCTGCGGAGCTGCTCGTCTTCTTCAGGACTCCATGGGCCTTTAATCCGATCCGCCATTGATTTGTCGAGATGGATTCTTAATTTTAGTGATTTTCTCTGCGTTGTGTTTGGGAGACGATAAACAAACGTTCGAGAAAATATAAGAGAGGACAAAATTATTTATACAAGGATGTTAAAGAGAGGGTAACCGGGAACCGGTCAAGGCGGTGGAGAAGTCATGGGCGACGCTTCTTCCACGCAAGCGGTTTTTCAAAGTTTGCGATACAGCTGTAAGTGGACACGCGTCGTAATTTGGCTACGTCGATGTGTCTTCTTTTGTCGTTTTCATAATGATTTTTGCAAAAAAAAACTATCAGATCTCACATATCGTACAGTTGAGCGTGGAGATCAATCGAGGGCAATGTCGTAGGTTGTGAGTGCACGCGCTTAAAATATGCGTGGTGAAATGTGGAAGTTAAAGAGACAAAATCACGAAACCCAACTAGGAAAGCTTTGATAATATTCGCACAATTTGAGGTGAATTTAATAAATACGGGGGCAAATAAAAACTAAAAATAAATATCTGAAATAACGGTTAGGTTTGGGTAAGGACAGTTTTTATTTATTTATTTTGTTAGTCTGACTTAACGAAAGCCAGGCTGTATACCACTTTACAAACTTTCTACAATATCTAAATTTACATAACTGATTTCCCGAGTAGCCAAACTATCAAATTATAAATGAGTTTTTATACCCAATTATCATTAAAAATACAAAAAAAAAAACTGGACAATCACAAACATATACCTAATCCATATGTTTCTAAGTGTTCTTGACAAGACTAGTGTTTACTTTGGTTAAATGGAACAAATCGAACGGTTATAATTGGTCAAAATCACTTTTTGTAGATCTAACGTACCAAACCTAAATTTATAGTACCGAGTCGAATTCGATATTCTTTAAGGACAATTGGGCTTCCCTTGTGTGTGCAATTTTCATTAAATAGTTCCTGATATTTCATATCTGTGACAGAACGGTAAATTTATGTTAATGTATAAATATGGTTAGATATTAATGTTGAATTTAAGAAACGTGATGTAAATGAGCGGCTATCAAAAGATAAGGGGTCGGTGACGTGGCTGAAAACGACAAGATAGGTTGCCGAATTGGAAAGCAAAATCATCACTGTCTTTATTTCCTGAAAATAGATTTGTAATTTATTGTAGAAAATGAATCAAATCCAGGCTGTAAAACTCGTTAATGCTTTAAAAAAAACGATTTAAAACGCTTAACTGTAATCCATTTACGAACCGCCACGTGTCAGTCACAAAACGCGGAATTTAGTAGGACTATTGAACTGTACGGTACGAGTAAAGGTCAGTAAACGTCAGGTACTGTTAACCGCACGCTCCCCAACGCCATTGCACCTTCTCCCTAACCTTCTTCCTCCAACGGTTTAACAACAAATTCTCTTTTAAAAGCATTTCTTTTCCTAATTATTATTCCTAACTTTTCCAAAAATTATGTCCTGAAATGAGGATGACGAGTTTGTTTAACGTCAAAACCAAAAAAAACCTCTATATACATATAGCATTTGATTCGAATATCAAATTACTTATGGTGTAGCAAATGAAATTATCGAAAATATTGCTTGTGTTTACCAGCATAAATAATCAAACAGGATAAGTTTAAATGTTCTAAACCCTTTCGCAAAAAAAAACAAAATTAAATGCCCTTTGATAGGCTGATAGGTTTCTATAGGCACACAAAAGAAGAGAGATTGGCTGATTTTAGTTACATGAAAGTCCTTTTCTGTGTACAAAACCCAATTTAACGCTATTCTGCTCAATTATTTTTACTTTTTAAAGTCACAGTGAAGAGCTACATTTATGGATTTGTGGATATGATGTCGAACTAAACACTCCAAGTGAATTTGTGTATAAGACTTAAGAGATTATTGTGATGGGAACAATATGCTGTAGCCTGTAGTTGTACCTTGCATATTTATATAATTTACCTATATATGTGATATTTTTTCCGAAAACCTAACAGAATATTATACTTTCTTTGCTCGTTGTTGCTAGGATTAATGGTCTGAGTGTCGGTTTTGTTCTGCTAGTTTTCAAAGTATTTTATTGGAGTTGTTTTACGTTTACAGCTTTCCCTGGAACCAAAGGCAATTAAATAATAGATCGCTGATTAACGGTGTCTTACGCACACTAATCCCCTATGTAATTCCAAATTTCATGAAATGTATTTCTAATCAATTTTAATATTTAGAACAATAGGTTGACGAATTCATAAATCAGCGTCAGATGTATATATATAATGCTCGAGACTATACTGTAAATTCAACACATAACATTACCCATTGATAGAATAAAAACATACAAACAGCTATCGAAACTTGATTACACAACGTACGTAGTTCAATTATTGGAGCGAAGATATCTTTTTCGGTTATGATCCATTTCTCTTGCAACATAATGACCAGAAGAAAATATTAAATTTGAAAAACACCGTCCATATATTTATTTTATTAATCACACACCGTCCAAGATTACAACTGTATATTTCTGGTCCAGAAAATCATTGCCCCTCTTGTGGAAAAAGTGAGAGTGGTTCAGAATAAAAGGCACGTGGAACATGACCTAATTCAGTTTAAAAAATTTTAAATTACGAGAACTGGACAAAAACTGAACAGCTGTTTTCCAGTACGTCCACGTGTTTACGTGTTGTTCGTCCACGTGTAAATTTAGATTACGTATCATGTTCATTGTTCTTAACAAGGCAAAACCACTACTCTTGGTTTGTTCCTCCTGTCGTGTAAGCTGCAACTGTAAATTGTGATTGGTCTACGATTTGTACGTTATTAAGATATTCTTCCACTTGCTTAGTAGTATTTCGTTTTGTAAAGTCTTCGTTATAAATTTGACATGGGCGATGTAATCATTAATCTATTTTTCTCTAACGGCTATTTACAAAATATTGTAAATGGTTTTATACAGGTTTAACGTTTATATATATCTAACAACTATATGAAGAACATTTTGCAGATAATTGAAAGAGCGTTTGTTATATATACTACAAAGTAACATAAAACTGACAAAAAAAAATAGTTTAATTTTAAAAACAATAATTAAGAAAGGATGAGCATGTGGTTAGTAGCATAGGATAAAAAGATGCAGTTGCAAAATATCTTTCCGTTCGCTCTTATCCCCAAGCCGTATGCACATTTTGTACCTCCTCCGTTCCACACGTGTGCACATGTGCATTTAATAGACGTCGCTGAAACGACGGCGTTCGGAGATATCCGTGTGCTTAAGCTAAATATTTCCGATGCGTGGCTTAAGCCACAAGTTTCTTTCATTCAAAAGCGATTCTTTGTTGGACGAAATATAAAAGCGGCTCTTTTCTTTATGCATCCAATTAAAACAATCAACATATAAAACTTGTACTCGTGGCTTTTGCTTTCCTAATCTGAGAATTTCCAATTAAGTATGCAGCTTAGATTTATACCCAACCAAGAAAATGAATACTGTTATTGTCTCCTCAAAAATAAACTTGATCGATTATCTCGCTATTAAGGTTTACGAATTTCAACTTCAAATTGATAAGTTACACATGTGCATATAAAATCACGTATTTATCTAGGAACCAGCATCATACGAGTCACGAACAGGCAAAAGTGAGGGCAGTATACATAAAGCTAGAAACAAAAGGACAGACTAACACCAAAGTGTGAAACTTTTTCTCCACATTGCCCGCCGGCTTTTTTTGACTTTATATTAATACTAAATTTTTAAAAAACCAAATTGGAATATAATAATATCTATACACTGTTTTTTGGTCAATAATATAGTATGAAATTGTTATGTTTTTGTACATTACTTACTTTGTTATTATTGGTTTCCAGAAACAATAGTTATCGTGTGGAGAAAACAGCGACTACCTCATCAAAATCGATGATAGTGGATCTAAAATCACACCTGATATGCAAGAAATGCATTGGAAAATAAGTAAATAGTGAAAATTACACTATTCGTGTAAAACTTGATTGAATTCCACCTCGCGACTAATTTAGTATTTAAAGTTAATCTCCGATTTTGTATATTTATCTTTATTGCATGGACTTTTTGTAGAGAAAACCAGTTCAATGAACACAGAGAGGCCTCTGTTTAACTACTCGATTGAAATGATGTTTATAATATACGAGAAAGTGTTCGGCGGATCTAACTGAAGGTTGACAACATCACAATGCCTATTATTATTGTTCATAAATATAATAATATACAAATTTGGAGTGTATATGTGGCTGAAGAAAGGCCAAAGAAGAGCCGCCCTATAAATGGGCTTTTGTCGTCAAAGTGGTGGAGCCCAAAATTGGACTGGCCTGTGTGGGTGATTGTCTTTTTCCGTTATTTGTGTTTACAAGTAGTCCCTTTATCCTCTTCTTCTTCTTAAAACATCTCAAATCATTTTAAGTTGTCTTTTTCCGTTATTTATGTTTACAAGTCCTTTATCCCTTTCTTCTTCTTAAAGCATCTCAAATCAGTGACATTTTAATTACCAATAATACAACATAAAAGTACCGAAACTAGCACTCTTTTAAGACGAACAACTAAAAAGGTGGTTACGGTTGCATTCATGCAATTCTAGAAAAAATAACCAAAAACAAAAGTTAATTGTAGAAGGAATTGGAAAACACCAACAATAGGTATAGCGAGAATGCAGTAGGCTTTAACAAGCAGCCCAATAAGAAACTAAGCCCATTAAATAGTTTCTCACCTACGTGTGTGGTGGACTCGTTGACTCATCCATCTTGTCTCGCTTATATTGGCGGTGGTCTCTCGATGCTATTATTCCCTCCAGTGCTAATCCCAACGATTGAGTCATACACGAACAATCACGATCTGCTTTAAAACATCACAAATCAACGTCGAAGAACCTAAACGACGGAGAGACGTCGAAGCAGGTCGTTGTATGCAACGGAGGAGTTATCGGCGTCTGCATGGTGAATCGCCGTCACTCTCGTCGAGAATTCAGCTGTAGCGTGCGACGCTTCCGGTAAAGTCATAAAGATATATAAGCTGGTTATGTGTTCCTTGGATAATACTAAAATTGTTTTTTTTTTTATTATCACCAAATTATTTAAAACAAATGTATTTGTGTACTTAATAGATAACTGGATAACATCTGGATTAATGTAATACTTTAAAGCTAAAAAAAAAAAAAACAGAGAATCCTGTGCCCAACCAAATGGACTGACAGACCATAAAGCTTTAGATTTTCAATTCGGATGGATTTCTTCACTTCGCATTACTTTTTCCTTACACGTTAAGGGACGCACATAACCAATCCAACGAGAATAACAATCTATTATGTAATGTATAAAAAAGACATTATCATAAAAGTATCTTGCTTTTTTTTATATAATAATAATAATCCTGAACTTCTCTGACACGTGGTTTGCTAAATTTTATTCCGTAACCTTTTTCATACTTGAAGCTCTTTTCGAGCTTTTAATTTTGTGCCCAATTCCTTTATAGCTTTCTAAAAAGGTTACATAGAAAAATTAAAAATGGAAAAAGCTATTCAACAAAAAAAGAAAAGAACAGAGAGAGACTCTTTGTAATGGTTCGGACGTATTATTCATCACTACAAATGCATGTGTTCATGTAGGAGAATTTTCAGACGACCTCTTTGAAAAGCTAAATAATAAATGTAGCAAAATTTATTACTCACCAGAATGTAATTACTACGATGGATATTTTCTCTATCTTTTTATTATATTTGTTCTGCCACTTTTAAAAGGAATTAGCTAAAAAGGCCAATTCAATGACATTTACAATTTGATTTCGCGAATAAAATTTTGCTTAACTATGGCCAAAACATTAAAAAGGCAAACCCTTTATTTCTGTCACGTCATTAACAAAGCAAAGGGCGTTTTAACCTTTGGTCTTCTTTTTTGGCTATCGACTATCGTAAAAAAAATATCTCAATATCTAATTAAATCAGCACGACCCGTTTCACTTAATCATTCCAACCACACGTCGTTGTTAAAAGCTACTAGATAGTAGCTTACTACCAAAATGGCTTCGATGTGTACACTTCATGACTTGATATACTATCAGACAGATAAATATTACCGGCATTATTATTTCTTGACCGTTAAAACCCTCTTTATTAATTTTCACAAAAAATCCCTCTTTATTATTTTTATTTAAATTGTTTTGTTGAGAACCAAAAAAAAACGCAAAGTCGTAACAGATATCATAATATATCCAAAATCACCCGACCGATCAAGTGACATTGCTCAGTATTCTATTATTATATGTTCACTGTTTGAAAAATTGTCGAGATTGTAATTTTGCAAGACGATAATAAGTTTGGAGTTTTGCAAAATGGTAAGTAGAAAATGCCATTTCTTATGCATCTCCAGTCTTTGTCCACCGCCAGACTAGTAACCATTCTCTGATTAATTTTTTATTGTTATGACTTTTATGTATTCGTATCCAAATTTACAGGTTACTGATGTATACGACCCACATGTTTATGTTAACGGTGTTAATCAATGTACAAGTATATAGTAAATCTCAATTCGATATTATATGGTAATTAATGAACCCAATGTGTGAAACTTGGACTACACTACACTCATATGTTTTATTGGCTCACCCCATGCACAAAGAAAGCCTTTTGAATTTTTGTTCATAATAACCGTTAAAAATGGTTTTATTCTTCTGATATTGACTACGACACATTAACCAAAATTTTAATTTGCAAATAAACCATCTATATTCTACATACAGTACATATAAAGAAATGCATAAATCAACTGCATCATGAATGACATAATACTTTGAATGCTCTCAAATAGTTAAATTCCAGTATAAGTATTTTATTCGAAACATTGTTGACAAAAATTACATTACTAAATTCAGATGAATATCGCACTTGACAAATAGAGTTTAGCCGTAATTTTTGTTTCGGTCCAGTGGTTTCATTGGTTTGCAGAAAGTTCTTGAACGGACGTAAAAACAAAACAAAAAACAGTAAAAATATCTCTCAAGTCACTGTATATAATTTGTGATTTGGCAATCAAATAATATGTAACAAGGACCACGATGACGCTCGCGAAATTTAATTAAAACGGGGACCGGTTTTAATTAATTTGACTGGTTGTACATTAATCTTGACATGCATTTAATTTACGTGTGATGTTGACCTCTGCTGTTACAGTACTACATTTATATCTTTTTGATGGAACACATAACCGTATAGTTTTTTTATATTTCCTCTTTAAATCAGTTCCAGTCTCGTGGTCCGTTATTGTCATATCTAAACTATATAAAGATAAAAGACTCCAGTTAATAGGAATTATTCATACAACCAAGAGTTCCAAGACACATTAATCATAGGTTTGGTATATGTAATGTTCGAAATTAATCAAAATTTCAAACATATATTAGATGGAGACATGGAACGAATATTATTTTTGTTGAATTCAAATTATAAAACACTTTACTAACTACTTTGATATATATATATATATATATATATATATAGACAGTAAGTGTATCTAGTAACGTTACACTTGTTTTTATTTATGTTATACCTGCATCAAATCAATATTATAACAACGTCACAATATTGTTGACAAAAAGAAAACAACGTCACTATAATATCTTAATTAGTCTATAACTATAAGATGTACGATGATATAAGCCTATAATGAGAAAACAATAACAAATGGTCATATGTAATATAGAAGTAAATCCAAGTCAGTAAGAGACCTGCAAAACTTCGAACTTTATCTGAATGTCTTATAGCAAAGATACTATTCGCCCATCTGATTATGTCTCAATGATATTACTTAATTGATTAATAATCCAATTATTCACACACATCACATGACATGCATAATCTCACGTCACATTTTTTTAGAACATTGCCAAATTAAAAGGAATATATAAATAATATTATATAGTTTTCGTGATCTATCAAAGATTTGTATTAAAAAAATATCCAGATTCATAAGCTATAGTATTCTGTTACGTTCTTTGGAAAAATCAACTTAAACAATGATGAACCATATAGGGGCCACGTTGATTATAAACGTAAGAAACGACAGAAGCGACGTCAGCATAAAAATAGGAAAATAGTTTTAAGTTTTGTTATCACATTCCGTGCGATTTACATAGGATACAATTTAATTTACTACAGTATTATTACTATTTTTTTCTTGGCCAAATAAAAGAATCCATAAAAAGATAAACACTTTCATACCGCTCACAATCACATGGCCTTTTCAAAATAATCTCTCTTTTAGTGACGATGCATAAGCTTGAAGAACAATCATGACGACAGTCGCCGCCGGTCTCCGCCGCTGTTTCTTCGTATTTTCAGTTCTGTCCTTTCTCCTTCTAAGTGACCAATCTCTTGCTCTGAACACAGACGGTGTTCTTCTTCTCTCTTTCCGCTACTCAATCGTCGACGATCCTCTTTCCGTTTTACGGAGCTGGAGATTTGAAGACGAGACTCCTTGCTCATGGCGTGGAGTCACGTGCGACGAGTCTTCCCGGCACGTGACTGTTTTGTCACTTCCGAACTCGAAGCTTTCCGGTACTCTTCCTTCCAATTTGGGTTCTCTCCTCTCGCTTCAAAGACTCGATCTTTCCAACAATTCGATCAATGGCTCTTTCCCGACTTCGTTATCCAACGCGACGGAGCTTCGATTTCTTGATCTGTCGAGTAATCATATCTCCGGCGAGTTTCCGGCGAGTTTTGGCGCGTTTCCGAAACTCAATGTGTTGAATCTCTCCGACAATGCTTTCGTTGGCGAATTACCAAAGACGTTAGGCTGGAGTCGAAACTTAACGGAGATTTCACTGAAGCAGAACTATTTCTCCGGCCCGATTCCGGGGGGCTTTAAGTCGACAGTGTATCTTGATCTGTCGTCGAATCTAATCAAAGGCTCGTTGCCGTTACATTTTGGAGGCAACCATTTGCGCTATTTCAACGCTTCGTTCAATAGAATCTCCGGCGAGATACCGGCTGGTTTCGCCGACGAAATCCCGGAAAACGCCACCGTCGATCTCTCCTTCAACCAGCTCACGGGTCAAATTCCGGGTTTCCGGGTTCTCGATAACCAAGAATCAAACTCTTTTTTGGGTAACCCGGGTCTATGCGGATCCGACCAAGCAAAACACCCTTGCCGTGACCGTGAAGTAACCTCTCCGCCTCCATCACCTACACCAAATTCTCCTCCGGCTTTAGCCGCTATACCAAATACCATCGGTTTAACAAATCACCCAATTGGCTCAAAACCAGGTTCGAAATCCAAATCGGCTCTTAAACCGCTGATTATCGTAGGCATCGTTGTCGGTGACATCGCCGGTTTAGCGATCCTCGGGATTGTGGTTTTCTACATTTACCAGTCGAGGAAACGGAAGACCGTAACGGCTACGTCAAAATGGTCCACGTCATCATCCACAGACTCCAAGGTCTTATCAAAATGGTACTGCCTACGTAAAACCGTTTACGTAGACGGTGATTGTGAAGAAGACGAGGAAGAGTCCGAGACGTCGGAATCCGAATCGGACGAAGAGAATCGGATCGGACAAAATAGAAGGTCCGGTTTAGATGATCAAGACAAGAAAGGGACGTTGGTGAATCTCGATTCGGAGAAAGAGCTTGAGATCGAGACGCTACTCAAAGCTTCGGCTTACATTTTGGGAGCCACCGGTTCGAGCATAATGTATAAAGCGGTTCTTCAAGATGGTACGGCTGTGGCGGTTCGACGAATCGCTGAGTGCGGTTTAGACCGGTTTAGAGATTTTGAGACTCAAATTCGAGCTGTGGCTAAGTTGGTACACCCGAACCTGGTTCGAATTCGAGGTTTCTACTGGGGATCCGACGAGAAGCTTGTTATTTACGATTTTGTCCCTAACGGCAGCCTCGCTAACGCCCGTTACAGTAAGTCCTTTTTCCGTTCCCTCTGATTTTAACACGCTTATGTTAGTATGATTATGTAGTATTTGGCTACCATGAGCGGGGAAAGTGAAAAGTGTCGGTTTCGGAGTCAGAGAGTTGGTTCCAACTAAAAAAGTATGTCAGTTAATGATCGGAGTAGAGTCAACGGCAATTCTCAAAGCTGTTTTTTATTTAAAAATTGGAATGAGCTATTTCAAGCGCAAGATAGCGACAGTTCTGTTTCTGTGAAATCTTACTGCTGAGTCCATAGATGGAAGAATTTTGTATTTTTGTATTGATAGATGCAAGTGCCTTTGCTTTACTTTTGTCTTTTTGTATTGGTAAGAAGCAGTAAGGGATTCACTAACTTGCGCATGTACTTCATCTTCTTCTAATTTTCGGAACTGTGTGTTTTTTTCTATAACTGCAGGGAAAGTGGGCTCCTCTTCTTGTCATTTACCTTGGGAAGCTCGGCTCAAGATAGCAAAGGGTATAGCTCGTGGGCTAACATACATACACGACAAGAAGCACGTTCACGGTAACCTCAAGCCTAGTAATATCCTTTTGGGCTTAGATATGGAGCCCAAAGTTGCGGATTTCGGGCTTGAAAAGCTTTTAATTGGCGACATGAGTTACCGAACCGGTGGATCGGCTCTAATATTCGGAAGCAAGAGATCTACATCGTCTCATGATTTCGGCCCGAGTCCGAGCCCAAGCCCAAGTTCAGTCGGGTTACCTTATAATGCTCCGGAATCTCTCCGAAGCTTAAAACCAAATCTGAAGTGGGACGTATACTCGTTTGGAGTTATTTTGCTTGAGTTACTAACGGGAAAGATCGTGGTGGTCGATGAGCTTGGACAGGTTAATGGGCTTGTTATCGATGACGGTGAGAGGGCGATGAGGATGACGGATGCGGTTATACGAGCTGAGTTAGAGGGCAAAGAAGAAGCTGTGTTGGCCTGTTTGAAAATGGGCCTAGCTTGTGCCTCTCCAATACCACAGAGAAGGCCCAGTATCAAAGAGGCCTTACAAGTTCTCGAGAGATTCCCTGTTCATTTTAGCCAACAGTAATGATAATAATTAAGAGTTAAGAACTTAAGACCAAGAAAGAGTTAATAGCTTTAACTGTGTACTTAGAGTTAGATTGATAGATGGATTTTATGTTCTTTAAATTTATTGTGTGGCCATCTGATTTTTGAGTTTGTCTTTGGTTTTATGATTTGGTGACAATAATATATCTCTGGGCTAGTTTCAAATTTAATTTTTGCTGAGTGCAAAAAAACCTATATTTTGTTTAGGTAAGTATGGTTTTATAGGATTAACGAAAAGAAAATTTGCAGAACATTTTTTTTCCTTCTTATGAACAAAGTTCTAGAGCATCCAAACAAAAGCTTCAATACCCACAAGACTTTTCAAAAGCTTATCTGTATTTTTGAAATTTGGTTTTGAAGACGTTTTTCTCAAAAGAATACAGAGGACTTCAAAGAAACACCTCTGCATCAAAAGCCAAAACTATAACAGATGACTTTTCTGAACCATAACGTTTTGTCTGTACATTAGTAGGTTTACCAAAAATAAAAATAATAAATACCACAAAAAAAAGGAATTTTGGTAAAAAAACAGAAAAACAAATCACATATTGGGCTTTTGTAAGTAAGCTAATTATATAGACCCATTAATATTAACCGGATCCGAAATATTAAGAGCGGGTAAAATTCAGATTTTGCATTTTGAATCGAAAACTCCGCTCTCGCCCTTCTTTTGTATCATTTGTTTTCTTCTCTAAATTCAAAAGAGCCGTTAGAGAGAGAAAGAGAGAGAGAGAAGGGGGAGAGAGAGAAATAGAGAGAAACCAGTTGGATCTGAATAAATCGAAGATGGCTACGAAAATTGGGATGATGGATTCAGCATATTTCGTTGGGAGATCGGAGATTCTCGCGTGGATTAACTCCACTCTGCAACTAAATCTCTCCAAAGTTGAAGAGGTAATAACCTATTGAGTAATTTCTCGTTCTCTTTAGAAATCAAGTTTTGGATTCGGATCTTACGGTATCATCTTCTACTAGCAAGCACCGTGAACTCCGATGATTTTTTTCTTCTTCTGGATTTGTATACGGAGTCTATGAATTCTTCTCTGATTTTGTTTTGTTCACCTGGATTTGAGTACGGATTTGTCGAATTCTTCTTAGTTTTTGTTTTGTTGATCTGGATTCGACGAAATTCTGATCTGAATACGGATCCGTGGATTACTGTAGGCTTGTTCGGGGGCGGTTCATTGTCAGCTCATGGATTCGGTCCACCCTGGAAGTGTTCCGATGCACAAGGTTAATTTTGATGCGAAGAGCGAGTACGAGATGATTCAGAACTACAAGGTGCTTCAGGATGTGTTTAACAAACTCAAAATCACTAAGGTCCTCTTTCATCTTTCCCTACTTTTATTTTGTTCTTTTGGGGGTTAATATAAACCTTGAATCGAGCTGACTGGTTTGGTTAATTTTGGCTGTGTAGCACATTGAAGTTAGCAAACTCGTCAAGGGTAGACCACTGGATAACTTGGAGTTCATGCAATGGCTGAAGAGGTACTGCGATTCTGTCAACGGTGGCCAGCTTCAGAAGTGAGTTTCACAACTATCTTAGCCTTTTAAACTTTGTTTATTTCCACAATTTGTTAAAATTTTGGGTTCTTGATTCAGATTGTTGTTTGGCACTGAATCAAATTCATTGAGTTCTTCTATCTGAGTAAATGTTGAGATTCACTTATTGACTGTTTGTGGCTGCATCTGGTGAATAGAGATAAAAGAAAATCACCAGTCTAGTGGATTCTACTACTCGGTCTATATACTGTTTCTATCTGACAAGTCTAGCGTTAGAATTGATCGAGATTCACATACTCATCTCTGAAACTGATCTCTTGTATTTGGATTGATTCGCTTAGTTACCACGCACTGGAGAGAAGAGAAGCCAGCAAAGGAGGGAAAGAAGCAACCAAGAGAGCTGCAGCTACGCAACAATCAAGCAAGAGTGCTTCTTCTTCTTCGGCTGCACCTAGACCTTCATCTTCGAATGGAACCCGTAAACACGAACCACAATCCTCCAACACTGGGAATCACCACTCTTCAAAAGCCCCATCTAAACAACAACCTAAACCAGTGCCTGCTTATGATGAAAAGGTATGTGTTTCTCTCAACACACATGAGAAATTACGCTAAAGTCTTTAAAAGCTCACTAACTCGTTTTCTTTTTTACAGATCACGGAACTGAAACTCTACATAGACAGTTTGGAGAAGGAGAGAGACTTCTATTTCTCTAAGCTAAGAGATGTGGAGATCCTCTGTCAGAATCCAGACGCTGAACACTTACCTGTAAGCAAAATCCTTTTCAGCCCCTCGTTACATGAAACTCCCTTGAAATGTCTCACAATGTTTTTCTAATCATCACTCTCTTTTGCTTTTCCTTCTTCTGCAGCTTGTTGGTTCCATAAAAAGAATCCTATACGCAGCAGATGGAGAAGACGTTGGAGCAGGAGCAGCAGAGACAACAGAGACACAGACCTTAAGCCCCATTGCAGAAGGATCAGAAGAGAGAAGGAACAGTGTAACAGAGTCACAGAAGAGGAAACTCATAGTGAACCTCGACGTGGATGCTGCAGCGATTACCACACTCTCTCCAAGACAACGCCTTTCTGATTCTTCTGATGTCAAATGCAGCGGATCATCTCCTCTTTTGACCTGCTGAATCAAAAGTAAAACAAAGAAGCTACTTATAGTTACTACTACTACTACTCTCTCTCTCTCTCTCTCTCTCTCTTATGAAACATTCTCTCTCAGAGAATTCGCTCTATGTTTGATAATTCCCCATCACTTCTTCTTATAAACCTGCTTTTTACTCTCTGTTAAGAAAATATCATTCATATGATGTTTTGTGAAGTGTGAACCTTAATGGTATAATATGTTTTGCCTTCTACAGTTTGAAATCTTATTGATTGATTGACAGTGGAGAATGATTTAAGAATAAAATAGTGATTTTGCATAATCTTATTAGATTTCCTAAGACTCAGGCTGGCCAATCAATACATTGGAAAAATTAGAATGGACAAACGTAAGAGACGGACGTTTTCCTTCAACAATTGATCTGCTCTGTTGAAAACTTTCTTTTATAAATTTCTTTTCTGTGTATAGAAGTTATTTTTCCTCTAAACTCTCCAATAACAATATACTGTCTTAACACTTCAAATTTTATTGTCAGAGATATGAATCTAAAATCCATGCAGGTATGATGTGCGTATGTTCTTTAGTGCTTTATATCTTTTTTTTGTGGTAATACAAATTGTAATTTGATTATGTTTTGAAATTTAAAAGGAAATGGACAGTAAGAAAAAACAAGAAGATGGATCAAAAGTGGTGGTGGAAACAACGGAGATTCGTTCGTCGGCGGGGAAAGGCACAGAGCAAAGAAATGTAGAGGTGGTTCATCAATCTCATCCTAAAACTAGCGGTGGCGTTCTCGTTGGAGCAGCTGCCGCCGTCGAATCCACACTTGAATCTGCCAAAGAAGTCATCTCTAAAACCTAAATATCGAAATAGGTTTTTATTTTTTCTATTTTCTAGTACGTAACAAATTGTATAAATTTCATCTTTGCAATCCCATAATAATCAGAGACACACGAACTATATGAGTCTATGACATACGATTCACATGTATCTTTCTTGGCTCCAAATATCATGACATATAGAAAATTTGTAGATCAAAATAAAGTTAGCTAAAGTAGTTGTAAATCTTTATTTGAATCGAATAATCATCAAGAAAGAACCTTGTTTAGTTGTTCTTTTTGTTGTACTGTTGAATGGAAAATGCGCTTCTTTTTTCTTCGCCACCAATTATTAACCATCCCAAATCTCATAATATTTTTGCATTATCCACTAAAAAAGAAACTAAAAATAAAATAGTAAAGGTAAATTGGTAATGGTGGGTCTTGATGCTCGCTGGCAGAACACATACTTTTGACTTTTAGCCTACAGTCATCTTTCTTTCGGTAAATTAAATCCCCTGTCTACTTTTTCCATAGCGAAATAGTGACCTCACTAGTTACTACTATTAATATGCATTTTTGCTTCATTTAAAACTATTAAGCGTTAACTATTTGTCGAACATTCTTTACATCTATCATTTTAACTCGAAAGAAAAACTTTAACAAGAATTAACTGAAAAGAGACAGATCTATTACTTAAGTGTTATATACTCTTATCATATTTTATTTAAGTGTTATATACTCTTATCATATGTTATATACTCTGATTCCGTTTACCTTACATTACCATATTTTATCTAGTCCTTCGACTGATTCCGTTTACCTTGCATTTTTTTTAGTCTTTGATTTTATTTTAAACGAATCGAAAATATGGGCTTTTCATTGATATTTCCAATCCAACACATCTTGGTAGTATGGGCTTGTCCATTGAAATGTCGGGATATTATTATCTATTTTGTTCATTCATTACTACCCGAATATCAAATAATTTAATAAAAGGTAAGATTAGTCATTAAACATTGGGAAGCATATGCTCAGGTTGTCATCTGCTGCGTATAATAAACCTGACTTAACGTATTTGACAAAATTTTCAAAATTTCAATTAAACAAAGAGAATAAATTAAAATATCGAATATCCCCATAACCTACAAAGTCTACTTGTCTTGAAAACCTGAAGTTTGACCGTTGAACACGAGAAGTAATGATTTCGTAGAGAAGAGCGTGAAGAGAGGTTATAAAAAGCAATAACAAAAGTTGAAAAAAAAGTCGAACGTATCAACGACCACAATTAAATCAACATTTCGTCAGATTGAACGGCTGAGATTACCGAACGAAGCGCGTTCGAGTGAGAGTTGGGTTGAGCGTGACGACTACGAGGAAGACACGTGGTCCCTGTTTTGACGGGATGTGCCGTTACTGTTTTCACTTTATAATTCCTAAAAAAACCCAAAGACCCAACAACTTAAAAAAAAAAAGAAAACCGGAGTGGAAAAGTGGAAACGAAACCCTTTCGGTGATGGGCCAAGCGCCGTCGTCTGCGGCGGAATTGAACGGGAGGGAGATAGATCTGAGGCTACGGTCTCCGATGATGGTGTATCCGTTGATTGTTGGCGGAGGAGAATCGATAGATTTGGGAAATGGTGTTACGGTTAGAGATCGTGATTTTACCGAAGATCTGCCGGATGAGTGTTTGGCTCATGTTTTTCAGTTTCTTGGAGCTGGAGATCGTAAGAGATGCTCTCTTGTTTGTAAACGGTGGTTGTTCGTCGACGGTCAGAATCGTCATCGGTTATCTCTAGATGCTAGGGATGAGATCTTCTCTTTCCTTACGTCTATGTTCAATCGGTTCGATTCGGTGACGAAGCTCGCTCTCCGATGCGATCGGAAGTCTGTTAGCCTGAGCGATGAGGCCTTGGTTATGATCTCTGTTCGTTGCTTGAATCTGACCCGCGTTAAGCTTCGTGGTTGTCGCGAGATCACGGATCTGGGAATGGAAGAGTTCGCTCGGAATTGCAAAAATATTAAGAAGCTATCAGTTGGATCTTGCAACTTCGGGGCGAAAGGCGTGAACGCGATGCTCGAACACTGCAAGCTTCTGGAGGAATTGTCGGTGAAGAGACTTCGAGGAATCCACGAAGCAGCCGAGTTGATTCAGCTGCCAGCCGCTGGCTCATCGTCTTCCCTCAGATCCATTTGCTTGAAGGAGCTCGTTAATGGCCAGGTATTTGAACCCTTGGTTGCTAGTACAAAAACCCTGAAAACGCTTAAGATTATTCGTTGTTTGGGTGATTGGGATAAAGTTCTTCAAATGATCGGAGATGGAAAGAGTTCACTGACTGAAATTCACCTGGAGAGGCTCCAAGTGAGTGACCTTGGGCTTTCCGCGATATCAAAATGCTCAAATGTGGAGACTTTGCATATCGTGAAAACACCCGAATGCTCAAACTTTGGTCTGATTAATGTCGCCGAGAGATGTAAGCTGCTTAGGAAACTCCACATCGATGGTTGGAGGACTAATAGGATTGGCGATGAAGGTCTAATGGCCGTAGCTAAACACTGCTTAAACCTGCAAGAACTTGTACTGATTGGTGTCAATGCAACGCACATGAGCTTAGCAGCGATTGCTTCAAACTGTGAGAAGCTCGAACGATTGGCGCTTTGCGGAAGTGGAACCATAGGCGATACAGAGATCGCTTGCATCGCGAAGAAATGTGGAGCATTGAGGAAGTTCTGTATCAAAGGGTGTCCCGTCTCGGATCTAGGGATAGAGGCGCTCGCTGTTGGTTGTCCCAAGCTGGTGAAGTTGAAGGTGAAGAAATGTAGAGTGGTGACTGGGGAAATTGGAGAATGGCTGCGTGAGCAAAGGAGGACGCTTGTGGTGAGTATGGATAGTGATGAAGCGGAGGCAACGGTGGTGGTAGATGGTGAAGTTGTAACAGCTGGGGAGGAGCGGAGGGTGGCTCAAGCCGGTGGTGGTGTGGCGGAGACTGGTTCAGGTAATGGTGGTGGGAACAATGGAGGAAGTAGATTAGCGATGATTAGGTCAAAGTTAGGGTTTCTTGCTGGAAGGAACTTGGTAACTTGCACATTCAGGAGATGGGCTCATAATGATAATGGTAGTGGTTCTACTTGATCCATCAGCTATAACCTATAAAACGGTAACTGTCTAAAAAAAAGCTTTCTGTCTTATGATTTCTATCTTTGTTCTTGTTTCATGTTCATGTGTGTGTAGACTTGTCGATAAGAAAAGTCATTCCAAGGAAGAATATTTATTGCTTCTTTTGTTTTCTGTATGGGACTATTGATTTGCCGGTCGGATTTATTTGTTTATTGCCGTTTGGAATCTGAATATTCGTCAATCAATGAATTGTGATGTGTGTAAGTTGAATTATTTGACTTGTATTTATAATATGTAATCAGGATAATAACGAATGACTGGGAGAAGATATGTACGAAACTACAAATAATGAATGTTCAAGTCAACTAATGACTGTAACCATTCGTTATTTGTAATGAGTCTCGATTGTGGTTTGATCACAGTAAAATAATCTGTTTGGTTGGATTAACACTCTGTTTTATCCTCTCCCTTTAACATCTATTTATAAATGTCGTTATGGATTTTGACTATTTGATAAGATTATTTATATCTGGAAACATTTAACGATGGTGTTATACCACGTTTTTCACGATTCTGAAAACTGATTCCTGTGTATAATAAGGCCATGCTAAATTAGATTAAAAGAATAAAATGTCATTAATTTATCAAAACTAGTTTTTTCTGACGTTTTGTGACTATTTATTCAGTATAAACAAATGTTTGGGCTATTCTTGAGTATTTTGGTATCACATTATTTGTCATACCCATACGGCCACTAATCAAATCCAAAGCAAATTACAGAGAAAATGAAAAGAAAAGAAAAAAAAAGTGATTAGAAAAACAAAAATACGGGAACTTCTTGAGTTGGGACAAAAAGGTAAAAGATGAAGTTGCCCGAACAAAATTATTAAACAAAAGAAAGAAACCGAATAAAACCCTAATTCTCGTTAATTCCATCTTCTCGTTTACTCTTTGGCCGCCTCTGGAAACTCACAGAGCCACCGTCCGATACTAGTTCGACGGTAAAAGCTCCGTTCTAGTTTCAGCATTTGGCGATGGAGCATAAACTTGCAACTGCTGAGCGAAAAGTAGGCCTCTTTCGTTATTATATCTCAATAGACTTTTGTCAGTCAGAAATTCCTTGTCTTGGTTTTGGGTAAAGTAAATAAAAATTATGGTTGTTAGGTGCTTGTAGAGCTGGTGAAGCTAGTGCAGAAGCGAGGCTTGGAAGGCGAAAAGGGAGGATGGAAGGAATTTCTAAATTCTTACGACAAAAAAATCGGATCGAGTTTGAGTGATCCTTCGAGGCGCACCAGTGATGTATTGGTCGCTTTTCTCTCGACATTCAAAAAGAAAGAAGACGTGCAGGTAATCTAAACAAGACACACTGTTTTGATAATTCCTTGGATTACTTGTTTCTTACTTGTTCTTATGTATTTGGTTCCTTGGTTTTTTAATCTCAGCTATTGGCGAGGGTTCTGCAATGTGATGCCAATCGTAATCTGATTGTGAAATTCAAGGAAGAATCTCCAGATAAAGAGACTCCTGAGCAGGTCGGGAACATTTGTTTTTTTTATTGTTTGTGATATATCATCAAGAAACAGAAGTTGTTTCGAGGATGTCTTGTTAGTAATTTGCTCATTACAAAAGGTGTTTCCCATGGCAGAGGTTAGTCCGAATGACTATTGCACATGATAAGTACCCAGGATTATATGCGTTCCCTTCCTATGCTCAGGTTTGTCTGTTTCCATCAAATTTATTAGCTTCTGCCTCTTGTGGGAATGAGATTGTTTATCGAATCGCATGGAAACAGGATTGGTTTGTAACGGAGAATGGAAAGAAGAAGTCAAAAGTGATGAAATCGACAAGAATGCTTGCTATTGATTGTGAGATGGTTACCTGTGAAGATGGCAGTGAAGCTGTAGTTAGAGTTGCCGCTGTTGACCGTGATTTAAAGGTACATTCTCTTTTTTTCTTTATCTTTTTTTTTTTTTTTTTTTTAGTATTTGATATTTCAAGTGATCGTCTTCTTTTTTCATAATTTGATGATGATATGCTCATGAATCAGGTGGTTCTTGACAAATATGTGAAACCGAGCCTACCCGTTGTTAATTATAAAACGGAAATCACTGGAGTTACTGCAGAGGATGTTGAGAAAGCGACTCTATCTGTAGCAGATATACAGAAGAAACTGCGGAGGTTTCTTACTGCTGGAACTATTTTGGTAGGCCACGGGTTGAACAATGATCTTCAAGGTAAATCATCAAAAACTCCAAATGATCTCTCTTAAATGTTATTGACTCTGTTGGTGCTTACGAGTTACTTTGGTCACAGTGCTGAAGATAGATCATGCGAGAGTGATAGATACTGCGATGGTATTTCAGTATGCCGGTCCAGCAACTACTAAATTTCCTTCTTTGAATCATATATGCAAGGTAAAGGCTTTTCATTATTCTTGAGAGGACTCGACGAATCCTGAATATGATTGTTTCTTTTGCGTAACTTGTTATTCGTTGTACAGACTGTTTTGGGCCAGGAGGTGCGAATGGTGGGTTCTACTCATAATTGCGTTCACGACGCAGCAGCTGCGATGAAAATTGTACTCGCTGTTGTCGAAAAAGGTGTAGACACCACGGTTCCACGACCTGATGAAGTAAGCCTGAATTTCTTTTTATCAACTAAGTTGCAAAACAAAGTGTATATATATACTTAGTTTTTTTCTGAAACGCATACAAAAATTTGTCTTCATAAAGATGTTGGAGGCTGAGAAGATATTGCTGGAGGAGAAGAAGGCACAACTCCTCCTTCATAAAATCCCTCACACTGTTCCCTCTCAAGAGTTACAAAGAGTTATTACCGGGGATTTCACACTCGATGTTAAGGTAATAATATAAACCGATCATGCTACTCTTTATTCTCACGAGGAATCAATCGAGGATCATGTTTTTTTTTGTTTTGTTATTGGGCAGACACCAAAAAAGCCAGGAGGTTATTATAACACAGTCGTTGTGTTTAAGAGTCAAGAAGAAGCAAATCAAGCATTTGAAAACGTTGATGGAGACGTTGCTAAGGTATTTAGGATCATCTCTCTCTCTCTGGTCCTTTCAGGATCTGTTGCTGTCGTAAGAAAAAAATCTATATGAATATATGATAAGTCTCTGTTGTCTCTTTTCTTTCAGGATACAACGGGTTTGCCACAAAAATTGATTGAGTTTAAGCTGAGTTCTGGATCAGCAGCTAGTCTATACGTTCGTAAAATGGTTCAAGACGGTGATGTCTCTACAAAGAAGAGAAGTAACACAGAGGAGACGACCAATGTGAGTTCTAAGAGACGGAAGAGAGACGATGATTCTGAGGAGACGACCATCGAAGGAAATGTAAACCATCGCAGACAAGAGAGCGTTTGTGAGGATCATTTGAAGGAAATTGAAGAACTAAAGGAGAAACTCAAAGCTAAGGACATTGTGAAGAGCAGCGAAGATCATTTAAAGGAAATTGAAGAACTGAAGAAGAAACTCAAAGCTAAGGAGTTCGAGGTTCAGGCTCAGGATAAGATTATAACTAGCCTCAAGAAGAAACTAGAGAAGAAACAGTCAAAGACTCGCTCATGATTTTGCAAAATCAAACCCATGGCTCAAGATTAGGAGATCACTACACCTGTTTTTCTTGTTCTGAAAACTCGGCACTGTTTAATCATCAACATCCATGTCTCAAATTTTGTCTTCCAAGTTTTGTTATAGGTTTAAGTATTAATTCAATCTCAAATGATTTTGTATTGTATACGATGAAGCCAATGCACACCAAACAATGTTTTTGATATTTACGGTTAAAAAGAATATGAAATGAAATGAAACTCGCCTATATATAGAGTAGCCTCCTCCCTCATCGTCTTCTTCAACGAGTTGCTGATATTTCGCTATAGCATCAAAAGCTTTCGGTGCTTGTTTGTTGTTTTCCCTTAGAGCTCATGCTCTTTGATCCTCTTGATTTACCGGAGCGTCTTTTTGCTTCTTTGATGACCACTGGGAGCTCAGAGGACGAGTTTGGCCATGGTGTCCTCTTTGATGGCACTGTGATCTCTAAGGGAGAATTTATGATCCAGCTGCATACAAGTAGAAAGATTGCAAGTCAGCGATGTAGAAATTTTCTTTTGTTTGCTTCAGAGAGAAGGAGCGTAGAACAATAAACTTTACCCAGGTGGGAATTTGCTATCAGCTCTGGCTTCAACCCGGAGCCACCATAGCAAGACATGGCGTCCACAGCTTCCAAGCGGCTCCACCATTGAAGTATCCTTCACCAGAGACAATGGACTATCAACTTCTCCATTATCATCCAACAAGTTGACATCTTTAACCCATGTTGGTTTATCGTCTACAAGTTCCTTCCAGAGCAACCTCGAATTCAACACAAACCCTGACCATTCCATCTTGCTAGGCATCAAATTGGCTTTGTCATCGATGAAAGCTACAGTCTTCTCGGCATAAGGCTGTGTGTCGAAAACGTGCCATCCCACAAGTTTCTCCTTGGAATCACAACTAGGACCTTGGATTGGCATTGAAGGTTTGCCTTTCTTCTTCCCTTGATTCATCAGTACTGATGATAACTCATCTGCATTACCAGAGTGAGCAAGTATTCCAATAGATACAGCACCAAACCATTTCACAGCTTGAATCTCATCAAATAGCTCCATGCTATGCATGTTGCTATCATCAGCAAACACAACGATCCCATCTAACTTCTTGTCCCTCACGATTCTGCATTCCATTCAAATTCCAAGTATATTAGATTCCCGTTCTTAGAGACGAATCAATCAATCAAAAAGGGTTGAATCAGGATTTAACCTCAAGGCGTGAAGTCGCATTTTGGTCTCCAGTTTGTGGCGATCTTCCCAAGTATTTGGCATTTTCTGGTCGAATCCTATGTGAATCGTCTTCAATCCTGATTTTGCGATGAACGAAGCCGTCTCGTTGGTGGTTCCACCAGCTTCCACTACGATCCACACCAAATCGTAAGGGACGAGCATGAGCGAGTGCATAACTCCGGTCAGATGAAGCGCCTGGAAAGTCCGTACATAAGTCGGCGTCACCGCAATCACAGTCTTGGGGCTCCTCACACCGTACAGCGATTTCTGCTCCTTCTGTACTCTCCCAAGCAGCTGATGCGCTCTCATGACCTCGATCGGATTCGGGTGAGGCCATGGACGGATCCGGATCCCGTGTCTTCCAACCACCACTCGGGAGCTCCTCACCGTGCTGTTAGTTGTTTCCAGAGGTTTCAGCCGGAGCAGCCGGCTTACGCCGCCGGTGCCGGCGGAGAGAAATGGTGTGGTGTATAAATTGGTGACGGAAGTCGAGAATAGGAAGAAGAGGACTAAATGGCTGAATCGATAACCTAGAATCAAGCTGATCAAGCAGCAGAGACCATGAATCACGAGCCAAAAGATAGACGATGGAGACGACTTGCCGACGAAACCTCCATCGAATGAAGGATCCAACGATGCAGATGATCTGAAGCTGCTTCCTCGGCGATTCCAATAACTCAATCGAAACAGGGAGAGCTTCATCTTCTTCGTTTCTCTGCTCCGCCTTCTTTCTCCCTCTTCTGAGCAGTTAGAGTGAGCATAAAATGTCTGTTAGAGATCGATTAAATTAGTTAATTACTTTGCATCAAAGATTTAATTATCTTAATTAATACCATCATTATGGTTACCACCCTTCTGCTGGTACAACGGACATATTTTAAAAGGGAAATCGAAATGAAAAAGCAATGTTGGATTCATATAGTTGATGAATTTTACACGTGGCATGGTATTGGTGAGGGGTTCAAGCGTTAATCTCGTAAAGAAGTATATTGTGGAGTGATGATTAAGGAGGAGATTCAGGTAAAGAACGTGTATAATTAGAGTGATGTGACGTTAATGATTGGTGCTTGATTACGTCAGCAGTCAAAGGAAGAATAATAGTCGTACAATTTGGGTTACCGTTTTCCCTTTATTTCTAAGCAACTACGAGTGATTACCATATATACAAATTTATTATCACCAGTCACATTATTTTGAATCCATGATTGATATTCACACATATATTACTACAGAATTCGAATCCAAATTATATAGCACGGCAGATAAACTCAAAACTATATAGGTTACAAATTCTTATCTAGCGTCATTTACAACTTATACCCAATTTTTTGTCAGCAACTAAACAAATTTATTCATTCGCATGTTATATATAGTGGATACTATTTTCTCCAAATGGGTTACAGTTTCAAATGCATATATAAGCCCATTACTTTTATCAGAATACATGTAGCCCATTAAGGCCCAAAACTGTCAGGGGAAATAAAGTTTTTTTAGGAAAACTTTTAAGCGACTCGCTTTTCGACCCCTAATTTATGGCGGCGGCGATGTGTTCGTCTACCGTCGTCAGCTCATGAAACTAAATCTCTCGAATCTCAGATTTCTTAGGACCCGAAAATCTTTTATCTCCCAGACGCGAACAATGACCAATAATACGGATCCAAATCCTGACCCGTCGCAAGTTCTCGACGATCTCCCCTGCTCGGAGCGGCAGCAGCGTGATGAGCAGATTGAGGAAACAGTCGAGGCAGCGCCATTGAGCTTGGGCTTGGGCTCTCCTGGTCGACTCTTAGGCATTGATACTAGGGTGGAGCGAGCTTGGGCACACTGGAAAAAGCTGGGAAGACCAAAGTATATCGTTGCTCCAATGGTGGATAACTCAGAGCTGCCTTTTCGATTACTTTGCCAGAAATACGGAGCTCAAGCGGCATATACGCCGATGTTGCATTCTAGGATTTTCAGCGAGACTGAGAAGTATCGAAATCAGGAATTCACCACCTGTAAGGTAAGATAACTGAAATTAGATTTGATTTGGTTTCTCTTAAGGGATTCATCGATTTGAATTCGAAGGTTTTTTTCATGGCAATTCTAAAATTGTAGGAAGACAGGCCATTGTTTGTCCAGTTCTGTGCCAATGATCCCGATACACTATTGAAAGCTGCGAAGAGAGTCGAACCTTACTGCGATTACGTTGATATCAATTTAGGGTAAGTACAGTTCTCTCTTTCACATAGGATTCTTCTATAAAGATGGAGTTTTTAATAGCATTACTGTTTCAAGTTTGTTGATTCTGATAACTAGGATTGAATTCAAGTTCTGGAAATGATAGAGTTCAATGAGATTATTAGTTTGAATCATGGGCTAATACCCATCACTAGAGTTTAGTTTGGATTCAAGAGCACAGTAAATCTTGGGCTATTTGAGTAGAATGATTGAGAGAATATGGTTTCAGGTGTCCGCAACGTATTGCGAGGCGAGGGAACTATGGTGCATTCTTGATGGATAATCTCCCCTTGGTGAAATCACTCGTTGAAAAGCTATCTCAGAACCTCAGTGTTCCTGTCTCTTGTAAAATCCGGATTTTTCCAAAGCTTGAAGATACACTCAACTACGCCAAGATGCTAGAAGATGCCGGCTGCTCGCTGCTAGCAGTTCACGGCCGAACGAGAGATGAGAAGGACGGGAAAAAGTTTAGAGCTGATTGGAGCGCAATCAAGGAGGTGAAAAACGCACTGAGAATCCCTGTTCTTGCGAATGGGAATGTGAGATGCATTGAAGATGTCGATAGCTGCATCGAGGAGACGGGTGTTGAAGGTGTTCTTTCCGCTGAGACGCTTCTTGAAAACCCGGCGGTGTTTGCTGGGTTTAGAACAGCTGAATGGGCCAAAGGTAGTGAAGAAGAAGAGGGATACGTCGATGGAGGACTAGATCAGGGAGATTTAGTTGTTGAGTATTTGAAGTTATGTGAGAAGCATCCGGTTCCATGGAGGATGATTCGGTCTCACGTGCATAAGATGTTGGGAGATTGGTTTAGAGTTCATCCTCAGGTTAGAGAGCAGCTTAATGCTCAAAACATATTGACATTTGAGTTTCTATACGGTCTTGTGGATCAGCTAAAAGAGCTTGGAGGACGAGTTCCACTCTACAAGAAAAGGAAGCTAAATACTCTGGAGCTACCAGAGTCTCCGCAAAAGAGTTTAGAGAGTTGAATTTATTATACGGGTTCTTGATTCATCAGGATTTGTGTTGTATCAGTGTCCAAATACTTTTTGAAGTAAAACTTTCACTTATACACTAAATTTTTATTTAAATTTTCTGAACTGTTTGTCAATTTATATAGGGACAGCATATGATATATTTAAAATATTCCCGAACAAAGTGATTATTAATTTATCTTCTTTTTCATTTCATTTCAAGAGAACAAAGTGCTTTTAAAAGTTTAATTGATCTGTTGAATTTTTCATATGGGTCAAAGATTGAAAATTACAGCAGGAGAAAAGACTTAAAGATGAAAAAAAAAAAGGTTTTATTTTATACAAACTCCTCCGCAATTGGCGTGTCAATCACACTACCGTCTGTCTGTTGAGTGTTGATTGACTTAAATCTCCACGAGATTTTTAGCGCACATTTTACTCAAGGCGAAGGAGAAACATAGCGTTTCTTACGATCGCAACAGAACTGCGTGCTGTTTTTATCCATCCTCTCCAACACGTAGTGCGCAAGCATATCGTTAGATTCCACGAGATTCTCCCGGCAAAGAAACTCGTCGCCGCAAAGCCTCTCGACGTCTCTGTAATAATCGTGGACGAACACGTGCGTCTTCGGATTACCACCGCCTTTTTTACTCCGAGAAAGAACCGCCGCCGTGAAAATCGACGACATCCTCCCCGGTACATCTCCACCGTCGCCACGGGGACCATCGACTAAGATCACATCCCAATCGACATCGTAGACGTGATTGGGCAGGTCGTTGAGTCCCAATTTGCAATCGGAGAAGAGAAGATTCTGCACGGGACGACACTCGTTCCTCGCCGCCTCTTTGACAGCCGACACTAACTCACGCGCCTCACGCGCTTTGGTCGTGTACTGAACATCGAAAACTTCGATCTCCGGGTGGATTTCTTCGAAGTAAGCCGCGTAGTACCGGTTCTCTTCGATGAATACGGTCCGACCGTTGTGGTTTAGAGATTTCCAGAGAAGGGTTTCGTGTGTAAGACCGAAGACGAGGAGATTGCACGGCGGAGCGCAACGGCGGAGGACATCGGAAATCGATTTCATCTCTCCGAATGACATGTGGAAGCTGTCATTAGATCTTGACGCGTAGTGAAGCAGAGCATTGATGGCGCTAGTTGGCAATTGAGAGATCGGAGGGGAGGAGACGGCGGAATTAACGGAGGAGGAAACGATGGAGCTGTTTTTGGAAGGGATGAAGGAGTCGGTGGTGTAGAGTAGAGTTAAGAGAAAAGCGATTGTGAAGAAAGAAACAAAAGCGAGGAGCCATAGCCGGTTTGTGCTTGTTTGTTTTTGAATGTAAGGATGAACAAGTATGAGCTTCGTGTTTGTGTTTCCTCCGCTTTTCATTTTCCTTTGCTCTGTTTTTTTTTTCTTCGATGTTATGGTCAGAGAAAGAAGACGAAGAAGAGAATGACTCTGTTTTAAAAGTGGTTGTGTTTTAGTAATAAAAACCAAATTTCTGAAGTGGAGCCTACCCGGAGAGTGACGACGACGTCACAATGTGGTATAAATCTATAGTTTTACTATTCTAGAAAATTAATTTGCTCTCGAGTTTTATTAAAACTTTTCAAACCTTTTCTTAAACATTTGTTTCGTTTAGGAGTTTTCTGAAGGCGACATTTCTCTAGTACAATTAAGATGATAACATTTATCTAACACGGACATCACCTAATTCACATATCATAGTAAATTAGATTAGCGTCAAGCATGTTTCTAAATACTTGATAGTGCGACTTGTTCATACGGATGTTAATGAAGTTGTTGAATTTTGTTAAGTTATATGGGTTTCTAACTCAAAATTAATTGGCAGTAAATGAATTGGTCCATACTCTTTATATATTAGTTAGGATCCTTTCCAACTTCTGATGTGAGATATTATCCCTAATACGCCCTCTCGAGACGATGGCTACTTTAACCATTGATCTCGGTAATATTTAGGCAAGGATCGATGGACCATCTTTGTATCACATATCGATTATGGACCGGATACCCAAAACTAATTGGCAATAAGTGTATTGGACCAAGTCTTATATATACAAGTGTTGGTCCCTTTAAACTTCTAACGTGAGATTCCAACACGCCCCCTCGAGATGATGGCTCTTATCGGCCCATCTCGAACTGAATCCCACTTTAGGACCAGTAATAAACCTTTTTTGGGCCACCCTACTTGGATCAACAAACGAGGCTTTAATACCATGTTAAGTTTTATGAGCTTCCAATCCAAAACTAATTAGCAATGAGTGGATTAGCCTAAGTCTTATATATACTAATGTTGATCTCTTTAAACTTCTGACGTGGGATTCCAACAAATTTTGCAGAAACGAACATTGAGAGTTAATAAATTTGTTCAATTTTTTTTTAGACTTGTGTATTTACAAGTTAGATGTGTGTTGTCTAGCATTATAAGACTCGTAACAAAAACAAGGACTATTGGTAAAAAACAAAAACAAGGACTATCTAAACTGTTGTCATATTAATTAACTACATACACATACACTAATTACGCATCAACCAGGCCCTAAATTATCATGCGATTTGTGGTTAGTTGGGAAGAATACAAATTTGAAGAAACTGAAATATGATTAAGTAAAACATACACTGTCTTAGTTATAGTTTTTATATATAATAATAATAAAAATGTAAATAATTAAGGAGGGTGTGTGTGTGTTTAGGAGGTGGTTGTACCGTACATGCATGGAGCTGGTGAGAGGAAGAAGAAGAGAGAAGAGGTGTCGGCGTTTTGGTTACTGCAAAGTGACACCATAACTAATTACAGACCACAAGTCTTTGTCCCTTCTTCCTCTTCGTTGTTTTCTATCTTACGGAATAATATTGAAAAACAACTGCATTTTAAAATATTATTATCCTATACAAATATTATTATTAACAAAAAAACACTGTTTAAAATATCTGTTCTAAAAGAACTCAGTAAAATATCTGTTCTAAAAGAACCTGCTTTATAATCTTTTAACTGAACTGTACACACTTAATCAGTTATCATGTGGTGTAAAAAATTATTCGTTAAATTATATATTCCATCTTTTTAACTGATATGAAAAATGAACTTGGTTAATATGAAAAAGAAAAGAGAGCATAACTTAAATAATGCGAAATAAAGTAATGGAGAATCGAATAGCTACATTGTTGTTTAATTTTAAAATTTTCACTAGTATTAATAATTACAAAATTTGTATGGTGATGATTGCATGCATATCCAGGAAATTAGTTTGGAATTGGTTTCATCTCCCACTTTGGGAACACAATATTCACGTTGAGCACAATTAAGCCTTAGCCACAAAGGGGCCCATTATTGAAATCCAACTGATATAATATGGCCCATATAACAAGGTCTATTTTCTTTTGGGCTTTAGTGTGACCCATCCAGATTCCGGATTTAATGCTTTTAGTCTATAATAGTATTATGTAGCCGAGGATTAGCTAATTGAATACTACGAAAGAACACCTTTTTAAGGTGATACTGATACGTAAGTCTCTAAAGTTGGGTCGGCCCTTCTTTTCAGGTCTTATTTACAAATGATGAAGTCAAAATCACTTTACCTAGTTTTCTCCGTATAGCCACCCAACTTTAACCTTAACCCTTTTTTTTAGACCAAACCAAAAATGAAAAACGAGTATTTATTGTAGTCAATATTTAAGGAAATGACCCAAATGGAGAGTGGGAAGATGCTGTTTTTGAGATCACAAAAGCAGCACGCTTTGCTTATCTTAAATCTTTTTATAAAGAAAGCGCAACAAGAAAAAGTGAGTACCCATAATAAACAATATTTTTGATCATTTTTTTTTAAGAAACATGGAAGAGTGGGAACGAAGAAATTTGTGTGATTGGACGCAAAGTCGAATTGCCACAATGTAGAATTGTCAATAACTATCACTATTAAAAGTTTTATTGCGTTTTTAGAAATTAGACAAAATTTCAATAACCATCGCTATTTTTAATGTTGTAAAGACAAAATTGAATATTTATTCCAAAAGAAAAAAAAAGGACCACACCTGCTTCGCTACAAGCCTACGAGTCTGGTCATTTCCCTACGGACCAATCGGCAACGGCTATAGTCCACTCACGGACTCGCTCACGCTCTCACTAACGGCTCAAGACGGCAATTCTCACGCGCTTCATTTCGCGCGTCACCATCAGTACCAATGTGATTCTTCTCGGAAAACATAATTTTGACTGCATCGGGTTAAAAGAAAACTCTTTTGAAGAAATGCATGATGATTCTGTTAACTATAACAGCGCCATATTAACATTTAGACTTACTATTTATAATTCACAAACAAAATTTCTTACTAACATTTATAGTCACAGACTTACAGTTTTAATTACAAGATGGCAAAGAGGTATATGAATGCATTAAATAGTAAGAAATTTATACGTGCTGTGTCATTTTCTTGTACCAATACAATCAATGGAACGTTAGGTATAATTTGCACATTAAGTTATTTTGTAGAAGATCGTTTTTCGATGTATTTCTATATTTTCAACATTTGTGATGCATAAAATTATTAGTTATATTTATAAAATCCTTCTGATTCAAATAAATATGTTCATTGCCTAAAAAAAAATCACCACAAGCACGTGATCCACTTCAGCTAGCTGCTTCCCAATTTATTTTTTTCTTTTTTTGCTTGGTTAAAAGAAAGAATGGATTTTCTTCTTATTTGTTTGTTTGTAGGTGAAAAGAAAGGATTCAGAAGCAATTAATATTTGGTTTGAATTTTAGTGACTTTACAAAAAAACTCCAAAAGTAAAAAAAAAAAAAATGTCAGTGAACTTCCTTCTCTTCTTCTTCCTCATTCTCCTCCGTGTCTCCGCCGGATTCTCATCATCGGAGCCGGATTACTTCAACTCCTTGCTTCCCTCCGATGCCGTTGCCTTACTCTCTTTCAAATCCACCGCCGATCTCGACAACAAGCTCTTGTATTCCCTCACCGAGCGTTACGACTACTGTCAATGGCGCGGCGTCAAATGCGCTCAGGGCCGCGTTGTTCGCCTTGTTCTCTCCGGCGTTGGTCTCCGTGGCTACTTTTCTTCGGCGACTCTTAGCCGTCTCGACCAGCTCCGAGTTCTGAGTCTCGAGAACAACTCTCTCTTTGGCCCCATTCCTGATCTGTCCGCTCTCGTTAACCTGAAATCTCTTTTCCTTAGCCGGAATGAGTTCTCCGGAACTTTCCCACCTTCGATTCTCTCTCTCCACCGGTTAATGGTTCTCTCCCTCTCGCATAACAACTTCACCGGTCCGATTCCGTCTGAGATCAACGCTCTTGACCGGTTAACTTCCTTGAATCTCGAGATTAACCACTTCAACGCCACTCTCCCGCCGCTGAATCAGTCGTTTCTAACCTCCTTCAACGTTTCCGGTAACAATCTCACCGGAGTAATCCCCGTCACGCCGACTCTGTCGCGATTCGACGCGTCGGCGTTTAGGTCTAATCCTGGTCTCTGCGGCGAGATCATCAACCGAGCTTGCGCTTCACGCTCGCCGTTCTTCGGGTCGACTAACAAGACTGCATCATCGTCGTCGTCGTCGCAGGCTCCTCTGGGACAAAGCGCGCAGGCGCAGAACGGTGGAGCCGTAGTAATCTCGCCGGTGGTATCGGGGAAGAAAGGCAAAGAGGCTGGGCTAGTTCTGGGTTTCACCGTCGGTCTCGCGTCGCTTATCGTGCTTGGTCTTTGCCTCGTCGTCTTCTCTCTGGTGATGAAGAAACGGAACGATGATGGGATTTACGAACCGAGTCAAAAAGGAGAAGCGTCCTCCTCCTCGCAACAACAACACCAACAACACCAGAATCAAACTCCGAGAACAAGAACCGTCCCGATTTCGAATTCGAATTCCGAATCTCAGAAACGCGATGGTGGAACCGAAAAAGAAGAGAAGCTTCAGTTTCGAGCGACGGAGCCACAAAGCCGCATCCCAAACAGCGGGATTCTGAATTTCACCGGGGACGGTGGAGAGTCGAGTCAAGGGATGTACACACTCGAGCAGCTAATGCGAGCTTCGGCGGAGCTGCTGGGAAGAGGTTCGGTGGGGATAACGTACAAGGCGGTGCTTGATAACCAGCTCATCGTGACGGTGAAGAGACTAGACGCGGCCAAGACGGCGGTGACGAGCGAAGAGGCCTTCGAGAATCACATGGAGATTGTTGGTGGACTCAGGCAACCGAACCTCGTTCCGATTAGAGCTTACTTTCAGTCAAACGGAGAGAGACTCATCATCTACGATTATCAACCCAATGGCAGTCTATTCAACCTTATCCACGGTAATCTCGAATCTTAAGTTGAATTTTTAGGGTTTTTGTTCCAACTCATTGAGTCACCACCGAGTTGATTTGATGGCTTTTCTTTAATTAATCACCGTTTTATTAAAATGTGGGTTTAGTTGTGTTGGTCTCAATCAATCACGACGTTGACGAAACCGTTACTAGTTTTTTTTGAGGTAGTGGAGAAGGACCCTAATGACCCACAACTCTCTTTGTTTATATTCTTTTAAGCTTAAACCCTAAACCATGAAAGCACGAGTCTTTCTGTGTGGCGGGTTTTGTGTAGTGAACCTGTTGAACTGAAGCTGACTACACAGCGATAATCGCGGGTTTTGTTTTAGTAATAATATTATAAAGTTTTGTTCTTTTGCTCTTTTTTCCGTTGAATTTTACTTACACTAGTGGAAGAAGACAGAAACCTGGTGGAACTCTGTGCTGTTTTTCACGTGAAATCTCGTCTTTTGCCATGACTCTGTCTCTACACCTTGCGTTAGTGCTTATATGCCGGAGAAATATATACCATTTTTCAAATACCTTTATATATAAACATTTTCCCCAAAATGGGTTATAAGAAGAAGAATGTTTGTTTCTGTTGGTGCTTCGTTTGCTTCTTGCTCCGTTGCTGTTGTTCCATGGTTAGACCCGTACTGCACCAAATGAGACTAATTAATGTCAATTATCCAGGTTCAAGATCCTCAAGAGCAAAGCCATTACATTGGACATCTTGTTTAAAGATTGCAGAAGACGTAGCTCAGGGCTTATATTACATCCACCAAACATCATCAGCTTTGGTCCATGGAAACCTAAAATCAACGAACATCCTCCTCGGACAAGACTTTGAAGCTTGTTTAACAGATTACTGCCTCAGCGTTTTAACAGACTCTTCCTCTTCCGTTTCACCTGATGATCCCGACGCTTCCTCTTACAAAGCCCCCGAGATCAGAAAATCATCTCGTAGACCAACTTCCAAATGCGATGTCTACTCGTTTGGTGTCTTAATCTTTGAGCTTTTGACTGGAAAGAACGCATCGAGGCATCCGTTTATGGCGCCTCATGACATGCTTGATTGGGTTAGAGCAATGAGAGAAGAAGAGGAAGGAGCAGAGAATAATAGGCTTGGGATGATGACTGAAACAGCTTGTCTTTGCCGTGTGACATCCCCGGAGCAAAGGCCGACGATGATACAAGTGATTAAGATGATTCAGGAGATTAAGGAGAGTGTTATGGCTGAAGAGAACGATCCGTTCCGCTGAAATGGAACTCATAGGCTTCCTCCGACCAATTTTTCCCAGGGGAGGGGGTAAATTTTAAAGAACAATTAATTTAGGTCCGTAAATGTAATATTTTCTTAGGATGTGGGGTCCGATTTTAAACACCGTTGATTTTTGTAGTACGAAAGTCAAAGATAGTTGCTTTTTATGTTTTCTTTTTTTTTCGTTGATTAATATCCACCGTTGAAATGGTCTTCTACGAGAAAATAATTGTGTGTTTGGGCCCCATCTGTCAGGATATTATTTATGATAAAAGGACCAAATTCGCAATTTTGACAATTTTTTCTGTTACAAATGAAATAACCGCACAATGATGCATTGGCAAATTAATAAATGGATAGAATGCAATGCTTATACAACAAAACTATACAATTGAGCCCATTGGTTTTAAGTATAAAAGCCCATATCTTAGTCACAGCTATCTTAGGAGGCCCATTTCGATTTCAGAGGCCCATTAATATTTCAATAGTATGGCTACCAAATACGAAGATTTAGTGACCAACTGCACAAATAACTGTTTATTAATTTTAAAAGTGTCTTGGTTTCATCATCGTTTACTAATCTAGTAGATTCATATAATACACTGTGTTGACTTGCTTATATTAAGCCGCCTTGTGTTGTTGTGGCACAGTTGTTTCGGAGATATTTAGGAAGATTTTTTTTTTTTTTTTTTTTGGAAAAAGATTTAGGAAGATTGTTTTCCCCCCGATTTAGGGAGGTTCATACATTACCTATGATGCTAAAGTGCTAAGCATTTTTGTGTTTTAGCACCAACGTTCGTGTGAAGTTGAGATCATTTGTATATAAACACAGTGCATCATTTGTATATATGAATCGGTTCGACATTTAACATCTTCGATGTGCTTTATTGATTTGAGTAAAAGAAGATATATATGATCGTTTACGAATGGATATATAACAACAAAGATATAAAAACAACATGCTATTTTAAAATAAATGGCAGCCCCATATTATTTTGAACACAAAAATGTTTCAAAGTGGTCCATTTTCTATGAAATGAATTGATTTGCTTGCTTTTCCGCGGTAATTGGCGCCATGTTCACGTGCCAACTGGGTCACAGCTAAAAGTTTCATTATTAAACGTATATATATATTTCCTACGAATACTACTTTCCAGTTGAAGTTATTTGTTTGTAAATATTCATATTTTAAATTTAAACCAAAGTCGTGGGAACAATCCAAATATCACTCAACTCCTACCCTACAGGTTTTTCTATAACAGTTTCAATATTATTAGGCTATTTTCAAAAATCTTTTGCGTGTAACGATTCCCAAATGAGCATCGAATTATTATGATAGGAACATTAATTGCTAATTAAAATCGTTATCATACATATATTGTAATTGTTCCTTGTCGGCTGCAATGCAAATAATTATTTTTTATATTATCGGAATAACTATAATATATACACTAACGTATATATATATATATATTACTAGTAAGGACCACAGAACAAAACTAGAAATCCAAAAATAATTCCCTTTAAAAATGTCAATTTGAAAATTATGGCTTATGGAGGTATATAGTAGATGGGTTCACATCACAAGAATGGTATTGAAATCGTGAAGAAAAACCAGTCAAGAGAGCAGCAACATCATATAATATGGTTCAGCATATGAATATTCAAGATTTATAGTTAATTCATATATACGCTTCGATAATCCATAAGAATAAAAATCATTATCCAAGTAATATTTTAACGAAGAAAATACAACTCGATCGACACTCCTGAAAATAACATAAAACAATTATTGGAAGATCGGTTCTTTCGCAGACTAATTATAATCAATCTCCCACCTGCTGTATGTATATAATAAGATACCATTTAATTTTTGAATAATATTTGCGATAGATAATGACGTTTTTCTTTTTCTTTTTCAGAACGTATTATTTGGTTGTTGTTGTAATTTATTGTATTGTTTGGGAAACAAAATAATTATTTGTAATTTTACTTTTTTTTAATTATTATTTTATGTTCCCAAACACTTACATATGAAGTGGGTTATACACCGATATAATTTTCAAAAGAATAAGAATAAAAATAAAAATACACCGATATTCTCAAAGTCTTACCGATAATTTCCCTGGGAATATTAAAGGGACAAGAGAAATTTAGGAATAGGACAAAAGTGAGCGTAAGGGCGTATGAAAAGAACAAAAAGGACAATACACAATACGTGTCGTAATTTGAGTACACATAAAGTCAATTCCTAACGGTATCCAGTCACCGACCACCGACCTACCTTCCTCCCTCCACTATCCTATACCGTAACACCGTATTTCGTAGGTATCATATACACCGTATACTATATATATATACGTCTCGTAACAATGTTGCACTGTGTTTTTGGATAAAAATATTCATTTTATAAAATTAAACAGCTCCATTACTAATTCGAGATCAATTATTTACGAATATTCTTTCGACTAAATCAGTTTTTATGATAAATCATATTTTCCTGAAAATATATATCGTAAAAATAAGTTCAAAAGAAATTAAAAAAAAAGTTATAACAAAAGTATAAATTTGTTTTATTTATTTTGTTTTATATAGTAATGAAGAGTACATATCCCCATGAAAAAGCTTTCCAAAAAAGGCACCCTTACGAAAAAGTATGAAAATGTTTTTCATATGACTCACCGTATTGTATTTTTTTTTCACCGTGCATTTCTCATATTTTTCTTATAAACGAAATTAATTGGTAGAATCATATTTTACAACACAACAAAAGCTATTTGCTGCACATGAGATAAGATTTCAATTAAAAATCGAAAAGGTTTTGGTGATGATTATCAATTATCTCTATGTATTTGCTTATGTTGTCTAACTGAAGAGAGAGAGTCCAGGTATCTTTCCTATAAATTTATTAGAATCTGGTTAAACAATTTAGTATGCACAACAGCATTATTTATAGGTACCTGCACGGTATATTCGTAGACAAAATATTAAAATAGTAAACACACACACACAGATGTTTTGCGTACTATAATAATACATATGGATAGTAGTAGAGTATAGATATGTATTTCTCTACAATTAGAGAAGAAATAATAAAACAATAATTAACATGCGCATGTCATCTCCACCACCTCTTCTTCCGCCTATCCTCTTAAAAAGTTTCTGTTCCATTAAAAAAACAATCTAACACAGACGATACAGCTTTCATCATCGGCCGAATATTCATTTTATTTTAATTATTTAATTTTTGTATTTTAAAACTGATAATTCCAAAAACGAGAGAAGGAAAAAAAAAACTTGTTATAACTCCAAAACGAATCCACCACCATGGCAAGTTTATCTTCTAAATCCAACTAACCAAAATTCTCCTCTCTACTTTTCTTTTTGTCGGTGAATTTGGATTTTTCTCTCCTCCATCATCATAATACCATCTGCAACCTCTCTCCTGCTCCGACATATTTATTCTCTGTCATCGTCCCCCCTCTCTTCCGCCAAACCCAGATCGGAAAAAATAGCTTAATTCCTCAAAACCCACCTCGAAAGTCTTCTTCTTTGGAGGGTTTTAAGATCCTCCATGAACGGCGGCGGAGCAGCTGACGTGGCAGTCGCCGGGACGACGAGGAAGAGAGAGAGACCTTACAAAGGAATAAGGATGAGGAAGTGGGGAAAATGGGTAGCGGAGATTCGAGAACCTAACAAGCGGTCGAGGTTATGGCTCGGCTCTTACTCGACTCCTGAAGCGGCGGCGCGAGCTTACGACACCGCTGTTTTCTATCTCAGAGGACCTACGGCGAGGCTAAACTTCCCTGAGCTTCTTCCCGGAGAGAAATTCTCCGACGAGGATATGTCGGCTGCGACGATTCGTAAAAAAGCGACGGAGGTCGGTGCTCAGGTAGATGCTTTAGGCACGGCGGTGCTAAATAACCGCCACCGAATTTTTGGTCAGAACAGAGAGAGTGACAGCAATAAGAATTTTCATCGGGATTGTCGAAACGGTGAGCGAGAAGAGGAAGGTGATGAGGATGAGAAGAGATTGAAGAGTGGCGGCTGGTTATTGGATCGGGTTGACTTGAATAAATTGCCCGACCCGGAAAGCTCCGATGAAGACTGGGAAAGCAAATAAATAAGTATTTTATTGGAGCGGTGGCTGTTGTTAACGCACGCCTCAGCATACTTCAGCTAAATCATTAGCGCCGTTTATGTTTTTTTCTTTTTTCGCATTATCTGAAAATTTTAGGGTTTTAGTTATTAATTTTTGGTTTTCTTGTCTTTTATATTACGGGTTTTGCGGTTTATGGGATTTTAGGCTATTGCTTAAAGAATGCAAAATGTATATTACTACTCATTAATATACTCTCATTAATGAAATTTGCCCTGTTTTCTATCATTGACTTGTCTGTTTTATTTTTAGTTAGTGTTTAAGAGGCAAATCAAAAACACCCCTAGAAAATTGTTTTTGAATACACACAACTCATTTGAAAGAAAATTATTAATTTGGTAGTAGATATTCAGATAACTGATTACCAAAAGGTTTCTAGAAATATAGTAACGATTTCGTTGTATTTGTATAATTGTATGATGCTTTTAAAGTTTTTTCTTATAGTACCCTCTCTTCTTAATTCAAATTTGAGGGGATTGTTAGGAAGATTAAAGCGAAGGGATGGGATATCAAGTTGAATAATAATAACGGGACAATGTATGACCTACATGCATATCATATAAAAGCAACTTGACATAGTCTATCTCTATTAATTACGTCCACATTTTTTGTTTTCTGTTAATTCATAAAGTTATTATATACATATATGCAATGCATATATATATATATATATATATATATGGATAAGATTTTGGGTCATCGAGGGACTTGGGGTGTTTTGTTTTTGTCTTCTGCTCCATTTCTATTTGTTCTGTGGGCACCATTTAGATTTTATATGCTCTATCATTTTCAAGTTCTATTATTGCAAATTATTATCATTGTTGCTTTTATTTTGATCTGTTTTTAATAAGAATTATAATACGTTCAGTTCAGAGTTTGAAAGTTTCCTTCACCATACGTTTCAATACTTATATTAGTAGTATAAATGTGACATGGGCCAAGGAAAAGTATGTAGTATTACTGTTATTATCATGCGTATTACGTATTGCATATCTGCATTTTCTTTTCATAATTCATTTCGAGAGATCGTGTTCGGAGTTTTAATTATGCCAATGCATTTTTCTTGGGGCCGGGACAATCTCTCGCATGGATTATATTAGTTACTGATATAATTAGTGCTACACTTATACTGTTTATGTTTTTTTTATTTGTTGTTGTTATCATCATACATGAAGGAAATGCGAAGATACCAAAATAAGAAAGAGTACAGGTGGATGAGTCCAAGATACGAATAGCAAAAGTGGAGAGCTTTGATTTGATATTTGATGGGCCTTCCCGTTTTATTCTGTTCGTAGAGTAATTTCTTTTTAATCACAAAATTGTGCTTGAAACCAGACCAGATTTTTCTAAATTAATAAAATTGGTTTTTTGTCTTTTTTTGATGTGTTCTTCTCATAGCTCTCATAATGTGCGAGAGAATTAAAATTTTTGGTTTTATTAAAATTTTATACTATTAGTTATAAAGAAACATGAAAAAAATCCAAATAATTATATGGCATACTGTGATTGAAATCTAATCACGAATCTGACAAAGGCCAATTCAACACACGGTTCGATTAATCAAATATAAAATATAGACAAAAAAAAAATCGATTTAAAATAATTGACTCAAGTCCCTATCTTCCCCAAGCTCCCTGTCTGATCCTTGTTTCTCGTTGTCATTATCTTGATGGAGTTTTCTCAAAATTGTTAGATATTTGAAACCACGCACAATCATATTAAAAGAGTTCAAAAAAGTTGCATGATAAGGGAGCATTATTTGGTAATTGGGTTTTCTTCTTTTACGTAGACAATGGAAAATATATATGATTGGCTGATTGCCATATATAATCATGATAAGATGAGATAATAGACAACAACAACATCTCACATTAAATTACCTAAATATATACTATCCTATATAGAGAAGCCGTGAACTGTGAAGTACCAAACAATCTCATTCTGCAGAAATATCATAGAAAGCATAAAAATACGTCAGATGTAGCTATCTCCTTCCCGTTTCTTCCATTTACAACTTCGTCGATATTAGTGACGTTTATACTCTTTAGGTTATAGTGATATACTGATATTAAAAACTTCGTAGGTTAATAAAATGATTAGTCGTACATCACAATTAGCCAATAAAGTCTATACTCTTTATATAATGAGGATTAAGAAAATAATACTCTTAGGAGATTTGCACCAATATAGTCTGTCTATACCATCGCGTCAAATGTTGGTTAGGTTCGGTAAGCTTGACACTGGGTCTAACTCGTAAAGTCACAGCTCAAATCGGAAGCCCAATGCGGCCCATTATGACTAACGAGTTGTTTTGTTCAGATGTTTACGTACGTGGCCTGACATGCTATCGTCCGCCAGAACTGAAAAAAAAAATACAAAGAAAATGTTTTTTGTAATAAACAATTCCATAACTAGAATTCCAAAAAGCCCGATATTTTTATACATATTTAAGATCTTGTACAAGTTTTATTTTTATTTTTTTATATTAGTCGATTTCTTGCGCGATGCCTTTATTATTATTATACCATTTTGGTATGTACTACTTGGAAATTGAGGTGGGTGCATTGGTCGAATAAACCAAGAAAACAATGTATTTATAGAAAGTTTCTTGAATAAGAATATAGTTTACCTTGAGCTTGACTCTAGCGCACCCGTCAGTTTCTTGAATTCCAATTATAGGCAAGGTTTTTACCACCGTTTGTGGCTCCTAATCCTAGCTTTTCTGATCAGCTATATACCACAATGGGGTGAAAATTATTTTGAAAAGAAAAAATAAATAAATCTTCGAATACACACACACACACCAATCAACTACAGTGATATGTCAACATATGATGATGATTCAAACAGTAGATATATTAGTACTTTTTAAATCAAAAACAAGGAAAAACGTAAATACTTAAAAAGGTTATTCACGTGAGTCACGTTGCACAGAGAGAAGAGAAGATCAGCTTCCGTGATCTTCATGAAAAGTGGAGCCCACCGTTTTCAACTGCCTAGATTCACCGACGGTACGAGGATGATTTTATCGGCACCGTCCGATGTTTCCAAGCTGTCATCGTATTTTGAAATTTATTTATTTTGATAAAAATAAATAATAATAGATTTTCTGATCTGAGATGATTGTGCCGACACACTTTTGGTGTTATGTGTCTCTAATTCTGTTTTTAAATCTGTACGAGTTATGATTATACTAGTGAAAGGCACGTTTTTCATGTACATCATAAATTAAGAAATTCTTTAAAATTAGATTAATGTAGTTCAATTAGATTTTTGATTAATGTCGTTTGGTAAAATAACTGACTAATGATCGTATACCTAACTAAAACGTCGATACTAATATTAGTTGCATGTGTTGCTCGTGTTATATTTTTTCTGTTTATGTATCTTTATAATTTTGGGTGATTGATTCAAGTCAGCATGGGATTAGGAGACTAGGATTAGTTATGATCCAACTACAAATTAACGATATAAGTCGTCTTACTAATTCTTAGGTGACCACGTAATGTATTCAACTGGGTCAAAGCATCCAATCAAAACTTCCTAATGTATAAATAAAATTTGGAATAAATGCTAATCCATTTGATCAATACATCTTCTTGTGTCATATTTTAATTAGTTGGTATACGATATGATGATTTGTTGGAGAAACAGCGGTGGGGTTAAGATTTCCACTAATGAATCAACACACACATATTGATAAATATAGAGAGAGAGAGTTAGAGGAGAGAGAGCTTTTTTTATAAACTACTACTTAGGGAAAGAAACAGAGAGCATCAAAGCATCGTCATAGTTCCATTAGGGGAAGGTTTGGCTTTTTTCTCCCCACTTGTAATTAATATTCCTCTTTCACGCTTTGGCTCTCCTTTTACCCACACCTATTCTTCTTTTTCCTTGTACTCACACTAATAGTCACTTCTAAACACGTAATCAGAATTATGCGCATCTTGTTTCTTTCAATTTAGTCAAAAAATATACATAAAATCTGTGTCAAATAATCAATATAGACATTTTTTCCAACTGGACTTAGCTTGAAACATATAAATATACAGAAACAAGTACGATTCTGATAAAAAGAAAACATAAATTTTGATAGTTTGGAGAATTTATTTTATAAAAGATCTAAATGTGAAAGAGGGCGTGAGTGCACGCGCGAAGAAACAGGAGAGTGAAAGTGTAGTAGTGATCAGTTCAAGGCAATATGAACAGAAGATGTAAAAATGCAGAGAAGGGAGAGAGAGAGCTGTTTCCCGTACTTTTGGATGGGGGGTATTTTCGGTAATGCATTTTTTTTTTTAATTTCCCCCTCACATCAATTCCGTTTCCTTTTTTTCTCGTACCAAACACTTTCACGGATTTGTAATTTGTTCATCCTGTTTACTTGTTTTTATTTTATTTTAATATATGTAATTTCCTGTCTCTCCTTTTTATTTTTTTCCCGCAGATATTTTTGTATCGATAAGTCAAACTTTGATTTGAAATGTCTCTCATTCCAATAATTCTCTTAAATTTTATCAATTGTATAGATAACAAAAATGATTTTTTTGTTTTGTTTTGGGTTGTAATTGTGATATGGTGCCAATATTATTCTTAATTCGGAGAAGAAGGATAAAAATAATAATTCATAGTCCAGTACAAAAAGAGGCAAAATGATAAATTTTGAGTAGTTGGAGTAGGAGAAACTAAATAGTACAAGAAATTAAATAAGATACTCCCTCCCATCTACATCCTACTTTATTCAACCATAATAGTTTCAGTAAAATTATAAATGTCTGAATTTAGTTTCCCTTTATATACAAAGATACTCGTGGTGTCAATACTCAGGAGACCAAAAACCAGGAAACAGTCTAATGCACTTGTATTGGGAAAGTATCAAAATTTCAAAAAATGATTTCTTCATAAACCTTTTTTTTATAAATATATATCTTTCTTGACTCCTTTAATATGTGGATCCTCATAATTTCATTTATTTATTCGATCCCACCTTCTTGCTTTGATGGTTCTCTTGTCATCCGAGTCTGAGTCTCTCTCTCTTATTGCTCCCAAACTTAAAACAATGTGGAACCTTAACGACTCACCTGACCATCGCGAAGAATCTGACGGCAGCGGGAATCGGGTTGCACACGTGGCAAGCTCGATGAGCCAATCGCCCACGTGGCTGTTGTCTGTGCCTCCGGTGACCCGGAATTTTTTTCCGGGTCAAAGCATGGAACCGGATACAGTTCGAGATATATCTGGGTCCGGTTTTACTAGAAGTAAGTCTATCGTTCAGCCGGAGCCCAGCTGGTCGGGTCGACCGGAAAAGACAGAGCCGGAAATATCGCCGCCGGTCAAAAAGAGTCGACGTGGTCCTCGCTCACGGAGTTCTCAGTATAGAGGAGTCACTTTTTACCGACGAACCGGAAGATGGGAGTCACATATTTGGTAATTTAATATTCTTAACCATATAATATGTATGATGTTTTATGGTGTTTCATTTCTTTTGAGTCCATACCTTGATCTATCTATTTTATGTAATGTTTTGAATATTATGCGCGCAGGGACTGTGGGAAGCAAGTGTACTTGGGTATGGTACATATTTTGGTTTTTAAAACATAAATCAATTTTCTTATAGAAAGTAACTTCGATTATACTTGTGTCTGTCCATTTTTATTCGATTTCTTTTCACAAGACGAAGAAGGTTTTTCTTTATGGCCTTATATTTTTTTTTTTTGTTACATTCCAGGTGGATTTGACACAGCACATGCCGCTGCTCGGTATATTTTCTATCATCCAAATATAAATTAGAAAGAACCTAACATATAATAGTATGTTTATTCTAATTTTCTCTTACATAATTAATTTGGGTGAATAAACTATTTGGGGGCAGTGCCTATGATCGAGCCGCAGTTAAATTTAGAGGTGTAGATGCAGATATCAATTTCGACATCGAGGACTACCTGGAAGATGTGAAACAGGTTAGGTATTAATAATTTCTAGATATTTATCGTAAGTTCAAGTAACTTTAATTAATTTATTATTTTTAGCATAGCACACATGTTATTTATTAATCAGATGAGCAATTTGACGAAGGAAGAGTTCATGCATGTTCTTCGAAGGCAAAGCACTGGGTTTCCAAGAGGCAGTTCTAAATATAGAGGTGTCACTTTGCATAAATGTGGAAGATGGGAGGCTCGATTGGGTCAATTTCTCAACAAAAAGTATAATTAGTTAAAGAAAATTGTGGTAATTTTTAATTTTGAACTTTCTTTCAGTGGATTTTAACATTTCTACTCTGTTGTTTGCTATATTTCATTTTCAGGTACGTTTATTTGGGTCTCTTTGATACCGAGATGGAAGCTGCAAGGTACTGTTATATAGTTCAGTGTGTCTCATCATCAACTTTCAAAATAAATATTCCTTTACTCGGTACGAAACAGTAATATATACTTATTTTTGTTTTTATTTGAGTATAGAGCTTATGATAAAGCGGCAATAAAGTCTAATGGAAAAGATGCAGTTACCAATTTTGACCCCAAAGTATACGAGGAAGACCTTTGCCCAGGTAATTTGATTTTACCTTTTGAGCCTAAAAGAATATATTACAAGTTCACTCCAACCAACAAAATTTTATGTTAAAATTCAACAGAGAAGAAGTGGAATGATCATAACCTTGATCTAAGTCTAGGAGAATCAAAAGAGTTTGGAATCAAATCCGAGGCAAGTGTGAAGTGTTCATGTTCGTTTTTGTTATATATTATATTGGATTTGTCGGAATATAAGATAAAATTGTGATAATAATTTTATAATCGATCAATTTTAAAGATTGCGAGCACGAGAAATAGGTTTGGAGACGAAGAGAGATTATTAGGGAGGGATCTCTCGCTAGCGATGACGACAACGACGACCGTCGGATCGGAAAAGCAATCGGACGGTGGAGGAAAGCGAGTGGGAATGGCGGCAGCATCATCAGGATTCTCTCCTCACCACTCTCCATGGTACCAACACACTCCTCGCACATTCCACTTCTCTCGTCCCTGATCCATTCATCATCGTCATCACAATCATAATCTGAGCTAGCGTGTGAGTCAAGCAAGACATGCCTTTAGAGAAAATTGGATTCTTTCATGAGCTATTGTTGGGCTCTGTGTGTGTATGCATTGTATACATTATATGTTCTTGAGTCGATACAACAAAAGCTAAACCCGCCAGTGATCATCTCTAATCGAAATTTGTACCTGATCAAGCTGTTATGTGAGATATGAAATGGATCCTTTAAAGATCATCTTTTTCCCTCCCTGAACAAGAGATAAACCAAACAGGAATTACTACTACGTGAAAAAAACAATTTTTAACAGACAACTTGAGTTTGGTGAATGAATTAAAGTGACGAAGTTAATCACCTTTATATTTCTGTTAAAGTGTGAGACTTTATTATATACAAAGAGCACCCACATCTGGTACATTTGTTTCAACTTCATTCGATGTTCCTCTCCTCAGATTCTTTCTCCCCTTCTTCGACTCCATTGTCTGGCTCCTGCGAATCAGTTTAAGAAACACTGATCTTCAGTTAAGAAGTCTCGTGAGTGTTTTGTAGAATCGAGTCAAGAAACTCACACTAACAGCTTAACCGAGGATCTCCCAGTTGCTGTTCCGCAGCAGGACTTGTATTTCTTCTTTGAACCACATGGACACGATTTATTCCTCGGGACTTTCTACAATTTTCCCGAAAAGTTACTAACATAAATCAATATTCAAATCACATTTTCACACAATCTAAAAGGAAGGAAAGAAGCTAAGTTCATGGTTTAATGAACCTTATCATCGGTCTGTGAACTGCACTTGGCATGGACTGTTTCGATGTTACTGCAGCCAGCTGATTCCTCCTCATTCATTATTTCTTCTCTGGGTTTCTTGGTGCTTTCCATGGTACTCTCACTTGCTTCCTCCTGATTTGTGATATCTGCAGTTTCTGAAAAGTCTTCAGTCAAAGACTCCATTCCTTGCTCCGCTATCAAAAAATCAATCGCAGCATCCACATCACCGTTTACTTGTACTAGAACCTAAAGGGAGACTCCAGATAAGAGAGGACTCATGATCATAATTTTATTTTGAACACATTAACCAAGCATCGGCTTATCACCTGTTCAGCTTTCTCAGCATTGTCACAGCAACTACCCGACATGACTACTTTGATTGCCACAGCATCCACATTACAGTTATCAGCTCTGTTTTTGGACTTGCTCTCAGTGGCTTTCGCTTGTTTAGATGCTGCTGATACTTTAGCATCAGCCTTTCACAAAAATAGAACTCATTAGGCCAGTGAAACAGAGCACTCAACACTATAAACACCGAGACAAAGTATGAAGAAAAACCTCTATTACAACGGGCTTGGCTGGTCCTCCTCCACAAGCATCTTCCTTCAAGCGCACACTGTTGTAGTGTTCCCCATCGTGGTAAGACCTGAAAGAGTAACTTCTAAGCAGAGGAAAACTCAACCGTTTCCATTCATCTCAACAGAATCGAGTACTTACAGATGGATCATGCGAGTTCTAGCATCTTCAAAGTTGCGTATATACCAACGCGGTGACATGTTCTGCAACAAATATGAACAAGAAAGTGTATATCTTTGTGTTAATTTTCCAGCTGTTTCACAATTATGATCCTAACATATATCTTAGTTTATGGCATAGAAAAATGACCCTGTGGATACATATATTGCTGCGTGTGACAAGAGAAGCTGCCTGTAGTTCCATATTCCCGGCCCAAGTTCCATCTTCGTCCATGTTTTTACAGTAATCATCAAACGGAACATCATCTTCGATAAAAGGCTCAAACATTTCACGGTTCTTCTGTAAAGCCCATATCGCAAAACTGAGAGTGTATACAGGACTGCCAAAGAAAATTCAAGGCTCAAACGAAATGGCACTAACCACTATATACTGTACAACCATGCTACGGTACTGGCTGTGTTCATCCTCATTGCCTTGTAACTGATCGGCGAGTGCCCTGTGAAGAGGAAACCATATGTCAATCTAACAATGCAAACATACTCGAATCGATGGTGTTTGGGATTTTTGTGAGCGTGACCACAAGAAGAAAAGGAAGACACAGACCTGAAGAAACAGTTACCGTCTGCAGTCACTTGGATGATCTTAAGCCCTAAGGCGTCAAGCTGAGCACGAAACTGAGAGGGATCACAATCTTTGCCTTGCTTCTTCTTCTTCACCTATGGATCAGCCGAAATCACAAATTACAATACTCGACAGAGCAAAATAGCCAACACTAACTAAACCGAACAAACGCATAATACGCCTCCGAATCCAAAAACAGCAGCAAGCAACAGAGGAAACTAATAATCCATATACACGTTGAAGATTAAAAGAACATCGAAAATTCAAAAATTCACCTGATGCGGTTGTTTCTTAAGCTTAGATTTCTGTTGCTTAGCTTTCGCCATTCTCGTATTTTTCCGTCTTCTCGCTTTTTCAGACAGATAGGTGGAAGAATAGGGAAGCTTGTCAGTCGGATAGTTGCGGCGGCGCCATGAGAAGCATCACAATATTTCGTCGCCGTCGATTCACCGGTACAACCATGCTTGGGCCCAAATAGCTGGGCCTAAGGCCCAATAAGCTACGAAGAAACAGATCACCCTTCTAAAACAAGTATGTTACTCATTGGAGAAATTCTATAAGGATAAGGTAATGCTCACGCATCAGTATTTTTTGAAATTAGCAACCATGTGTACATGTGCATAGATTCGGCAAATGAATGACTCCTAGAAAAACTGAAAGAAAAAAGACAAACTAAATCAAAAACTACGTCAAAGAAAACAAACAGAAGAAAGTAAGTGATGCAAATGCAAGATTTGGTGGTGAAGTCAAGGAGCATTGTGCATCCTAGAAATATCGTTAACCAATCAACCGATCGTGTGAAGAAGATCAATCTGACTCCATGGGATCTCTTGCGTCTTCGTTTTTGTTATCCTCAAAGAGGTCTTTTCTTTCCCAAACCAGATTCAGATATTGAGGCAATCATCTCAAAGTTGAAAACTTCGCTTTCTGTTGCTCTCGACCATTTTTACCCTTTAGCTGGTCGTCTTGTCAAAGAGGTCAACGAAGACGATGACACTGTCTCGTTTCTCATCAGCTGCGAAGATGGTTCCGGTGGTGTGAACTTCGTTCACGCCGCAGCTAAAACCTTCACGTTTTGACGATGGATTGCTAGGTTCCTTCTTCTTCCCTGCGACTGGAATCAAGAACTATCAAGGCGTGTCAAACACTTTACTTATGGTTCAAGTAACTGAACTACAAGATGGGATTTTTATCAGTTATGGCTATAACCATGCCGTTGCTGACGGCAGATCGATCTGGAAATTCATCAATGCATGGTCAGAGATTTGCTCCAAGGATTCATCAGGATCCGAATCCATGGATCTTTCCCTCAGAGGTTGGCTACTTCAACGACACCACACATTTTGCAAGAGGTTGTGTTTCATCTCACAGAGGAGAATGTTTTGAAACTGAAAGCTAAAGCTAACGATGAAGCTGGGCCTGAAGAAGATGGAGAGGTCTCTTCGTTTCAAGCGGCTTTAGGACATATATGGCGTTCAAGGGTCAAACACGGTGGCATGAGACGAGAAGAAGAGACACATTGCAGAGTGCCAATAGACATGAGACAGAGGCTGAGCCCAAAGCTAAAAGAAGACAGTTTTGGGAATGTGATTCAGACCGGAATAGTAAGTAGTAACAGTCAAAGTTGGAGAGATGCTGGACCATGGATTAGGTTGGTTGGCTCTGAAAATAAACAAAATGGTGAGGTCACAAACCGATGAAGATACTAAAGTATTTGCAGAGAGTTGGGTTAAGAATGTGGAGATTCCAGCTTCTGTTAGCGGCACTCTACTTGTTACTAGCTGTCCCCGGTTCAATGTGTATGGAAATGATTTTGGTTGGGGTAAACCGATCGGTTCACGTTCTGGACCACCGTTTAGCAATGGGAAGCTCGTAGTTTTCAAGGGGTTGAAGAAGGAGGCTTTGAATTTCAAGCGACATTCCCGTCTCAAGTAGTGGTAAAACTAGTCAAGGATGCTGAGTTTTTGGAGTATGTGCACATCGCTTCATGATTTGGAGTTTTTTGAATTACACGATTCATGTGGTTTTTGGTCTTTGTGATTTTTCGTCTATCTATGTGTGTAAGATTATGAAAACTAATCTTTTATATTTCAACAACTCCTCTGTGGACATCTTCGGTAAACGGTAACACCAAATTAAGCTTTGGTGATAAATCCATTTGGTCGTTCCTTCGTATTCAACACTAATTTGGATCAATTCTTATATGTTTGTCAAACTTTGATATTGATTCATTTTTTGAAAAACTCAATATGCTAATTGATAAAGACAACAAATCAGATTTAAAATTTAAAGTCACTAAAGAAATATGTTTTATAATTGTGAAATTATTGACATACATGTGTGTATTGCACTAGTATTTTATACTAGTATCACTATCATCTTTACTAAAGATAAAGAGTGATGCGAAATTTGAACCAATCATATAGATTCCATATTATTATACACGTGTAAATTTCAGAAAATGCCAAAATAAAATATGAAAACCAACTCGGGCCACACAAGGCACACTCACAATAAAGTAAAGATGTATTGGTCTTTTTTTTTATTTAGTAGTACTTTCAAATGCGGACTTATATTAATGATTGAGATTTCACTCATTGGCGATACCAAAATAAAATTTAGTACCCATAACATAAAGGACTAGAAAAGAAGCTGAGCCTCACGTAACTAAAAGACCTCATAGATGGAAGAAGATTTGGTGGTGATCTCGAGAAGCATCGTAAATCCCAGAAATGTTAAGAAATCGACTTCAGTAAAGAAGATTCATCTGACTCCATGGGATCTCGCTCGTCTCCGTTTTGGTTATCTTCAAAGAGGCCTTCTTTATCCCAAACCTGATCCCAAAATTGACATAGTAATCTCACGTTTACAAGCTTCACTCTCTGCTGCACTTGATCGTTTCTATCCTTTAGCTGGCCGTCTTGTCAAGGTGAAGAACGAAGATGAAACTGTCTCGTTCCTCATCAGCTGCGATGGTTCGGGCGTGGAGTTTGTTCACGCCGTGGCTAGAAACACCGAGGTCAGTGATGTACTTCAGTTGTCCGGTTCAGTCCCCGGTTTCTTCAGTTCCTTTTTCCCTGCGACCGGGATCAAGAACTACCACGGCGTCTCAAGATCTCTCCTTATGGTTCAAGTGACTGAGATGAAAGATGGGATCTTTATCGGCTTCGGTTATAACTCTACCGTGGCTGACGGAAATTCGATCTGGAAGTTCTTCAACGCATGGTCTGAGATCTGCTCCAAGGATCCGGGATCCGAGACTTTCCAGCGCCGTATTCACCTCAAAGGTTGGTTCTTTGACGGGATTGATTATCCGATCCACATTCCAGACCCTGAAACAAAAGCTACTAGTCACGCAGCATCGACCGAATTACAAGAGAAGATGTTTCATCTCACAAAGGAGAGTGTTTTGAAACTGGAAGCTAAAGCCAACGATGAGTCTGATGAGAAGATCTCGTCTATTGAAGCGGTGTTAGGACATATATGGCGATCAATGATTAAGCAGAGTGGGATGAGCCGAGAAGAAGAGACCCATTGCAGGTTACCTATAAACATGAGGCGCAGGCTCGATCCACCGCTCGAAGAAGAGTGTTTTGGGAATGTGAGCCAGACCGGGATAGCCACAGTCACGGTTCGGGAGCTGCTGGACCACGGCCTAGGCTGGGCCGCTGTGCAGATAAACAAGATGGAGCGGTCACAGACGGACGAAAATGCGAAAGCTTTTGCTGAGGATTGGGTGAAAAATGTGAAGATTCCGGTTTCGGTAGGCAGCAAAGATTTGGTTGTGACTAACTCTCACCGGTTCGATGTGTACAGCAACGATTTCGGTTGGGGTAAACCGATAGCAGCAAGAGCTGGACCACCCTATCTCAATGGGAGACTCGTTGTTTTCCAAGGTGCCGAAGAAGGAAGTCTTGATTTTCAGGCCTGCTTCCACCCTCACGTTCTCCAAAAGCTAATAATGGATAATGATTTTAACGAGTATGTGAGCACTGTTTGATGGTTCTCTGTTAAGAAAATGAATAACAATAAAATTGTGTAATCTCTGCTTCATCTTCTCCCAATTCAATCATTAGTCTGGTAGACTGGTACGTACCATTTATCCACGTGAAAGCACCTTCTACACACTCGAGTATGTATGTTGGTGTATGCTTTGGTTTAAAACCGATCAAAATGTATCCTAGTTGCTTACCATCTCCTCCAGAAACCAAAACGATAGTCAGATAAAAATGGCAGGTGTTGTAGTGATCTCTGAGACCATTGTTCGACCCGAGAGCTACGAGGACGGATCGGATCGGGTTAAGATCCATCTCACTCCATGGGATCTCTTCTTCCTTCGAACCGAATACGCACAAAGAGGTCTTGTCTTTCCACAACCCGACCCGAAAACCCGCATTATCTCTCGACTGAAATCCTCTCTTTCCGTCGCTTTGAATATTTTCTACCCATTTGCGGGGCGTCTAGTCAAGCTCGACCACGGAGATGACAAAACGGCGGCATTCTTCATAGATTGCGATGGTTCAGGTGTCAAATTCGTCCATGCTTCGGCCATGACTGTCTCGGTGAGTGATGTTTTAGAACCGGCCAATGGTACTGTCCCTGATTTCTGGCGTGGGCTTTTCCCGGCGAACGGAGTATTAAGCTGTGACGGGGTCTCGGAATCGTTGATCGCGTTTCAAGTAACGGAGTTGAAAGATGGAGTTTTCATCGGATATGGTTGTAACCATATGGTTGCAGACGGGTCTTCGTTCTGGAGTTTCTTCAAAACTTGGACGGAGATATGCTCTACAGGGCTGCTTGACCGGAAAAAAATTCCTCCTTTGCCTCTCCGTGGGTGGTTTCTCGGCGGGATTGATTACCCGATTCGAGTTCCGATCTCAGAGACGACGGTGTCACCTGTTGGGGTTGTTTCTTCATCGTTACCCGATCTACACAAGAAGATTTTTCGATTCACGAGTAGAAACATCTCTGAGCTCAAAACGAAAGCCAACGGCGAGGTTGATTCCGATGATCGGAAAATCTCGTCGTTTCAAGCCATTATGGCGCATATGTGGCGATCAATCATCAGAAACAGTGATCTGAATCCCGAAGAAGTGATTCATTGCAAGATAGCAATGGATATGAGACAGAGGCTAAACCCTCCGCTCGAGAAAGAGTGTTTTGGAAACGTTGTCGGATTGGCGACGACGTCGACAACAGCCGGAGAACTGCTTAATAATGGGCTGGGTTGGGCTGCTTTGGAAATAAACAAAACCGTGGGGTCACAAACGAATGAAAAAATCAGAGTGTTTGCTGAGAATTGGGTGAAGAAACCGAAAATACCGAATCGTTTAGTGGAGAATAATTCGCTCGTTGTTGCTAGCTCTCCGCGGTTCAATGTGTATGGAAACGATTTTGGTTGGGGTAAACCGATTGCGGTTCGAGCTGGACCGGGAATTACCGGCCATGGTAAACTCCTTGCTTACCCGGGAGCTGAAGAAGGAGACATCGAGTTACAGTCTTGTTTATCTTCTCACGTGCTGGACAAATTATTGGGTGATGCAGAATTTTTACTGTATGTATGTGTTTGATAAGTTAAAACAATTGAATTCATTTGTACAATAGTTTATTTTGTTTCTAAATAAAGAAAGAAATTGAGAACGGGCCCTGCCATTTATGACCCAATAATAAACAACCAAACCAGCCCATGTTTGGAGACCACGCGGTAGATTGAAATATTTAGGTGAGATTTATTAATTAAGTATTACTACACACTATACACACACTCACAGTCTGACACTAGGTGTTTATCAAAAGCATCATCTCCTCCAGAAAAGAAGGAATCGTCAGAATAATGGCAGGTGTTGTAGTGATGATATCTAAGAGCATAGTGCGACCCGAGAGCAATACCGACGGATCGGATTCGGATCGGGTTAAGATCCATCTAACTCCATGGGATCTCTTCTTCCTTCGATCCGATTACCCACAAAGAGGTCTTCTCTTTCCAAAACCCGACCCGGAAACCGATATAATCTCTCAACTGAAATCCTCTCTTTCCGTCGCGTTGAAGATTTTCTACCCATTCGCGGGCCGACTAGCCAAGACCGAGAACGAGGATGATGAAACGGCGTCGTTCATCGTAGATTGCGATGGTTCAGGTGTCAAATTCGTCCACGCTTCGGCTAAAACCGTCTCGGTCAGTGATGTTCTAGAACCGGCCGACGGTAACGTCCCCGGTTTCTTGAGTAGATTTTTTCCGGCGAACGGAGTTAAGAGCTGTGAAGGGATCTCGGAATCGTTGATTGCGTTTCAAGTAACGGAGCTGAAAGATGGAGTTTTTCTCGGATTTGGTTATAACCATATGGTTGCAGACGGATCTTCGTTCTGGAATTTCTTCAACACTTGGTCGGAGATTTGTTCGACCGGGCTCCATTCCGGTGACCGGAAAAAGTTTCCTCCTTTGCTTCTCCGTGGGTGGTTTCTCGACGGAATTGATTATCCGATCCGAGTTCCGATCGCAGAGACGAAAACACAGCCTCTGATCGTTACTCCAGCAGCGCAACACGATTTACAAGAGAAGGTTTTTCGATTCACGAGTAGCAATATATCTGAGCTCAAATCCAAAGCCAACGGAGAAGTTGACGGGAAAATCTCGTCGCTCCAAGCGATTTCGGCGCATATGTGGAGATCGATCATCAGAAACAGTGATCTGAATCCGGAAGAAGTGGTTCATTGCAAGTTACTGATGGATATGAGACGAAGGCTAAACCCTCCGCTCGACAAAGACTGTTTCGGAAACGTCGTCGGATTCGCGACGGCGACGACAACCGCCGGAGAAATGCTTAGCAATGGGTTGGGTTGGGCTGCTTTGCAAATAAACAAAACTGTGGGGTCACAAACGAACGAAGAATTCAGAGTGTTGGCTGAGAATTGGGTGAAGGATCCGAAAATACCGAATCATGTGGCCGTGCGTAATTCTATCATAGTTGCTAGCTCTCCTTGGTTCAATGTGTATGGAAATGATTTCGGTTGGGGCAAACCGATTGCGGTTCGAGCTGGACCGGGGAATACCAGCGATGGTAAACTCATTGTATATCCTGGACTCGAAGCAGGAAACATCGAGATTCAGACTTGTTTATCGTCTCACGTTCTGGAGAAACTCTCGACTGATGCAGAGTTTTTAAAACACGTATGTGTTGTATAAGTAACAATCGAAATAAAATGTAATTTGTGTCAGCAAAATTTATCTATAACATACGTGACTGTTTTCTTCTTATCTATTTATGTAATATAATGAATAGCCTATTACGAAACTATGGACAAGTCGTCTTCTGCTTGCAAACACCCACTGAACACGAAAAGTTCAAATGTAAGAAACGAAAAGAAAAAAAAACTACTGATAACGTATTTGTCTGAACATTTAAAATATGTTGAGAAGCAACATAAAAATATAATAATAATGTATTTATGTGTGAAAATAAAGATTTTATTTAGAATCCGTAAGGTGTGGCACGTGCCACGTGGCGTATAAAAGAAAAAGACCGAGTCTGGAGAGTACTTTCCCACGCAAAATATTGGACTATGCAATATATAATTAAATTATTAAATCATATACAAATATTTAATAACGAAAAACTTAGGAACGATTCAAAAAAAACTATGACGGAACGATGACCACATCTTCTGTAAATATGAAAATGACAACATCTTCTTCCTCTGCAATTATGAAGAGCTATTGAAGATTTTGTTTGCATAAATACAAACTTCTGCATATATAGAGCTTTCTGCAAATATTAACTCAAGGAAGTCTTAAACTCATAAATCATGGTGGGTGGAGAAGCAGCGATTGATCGATTACCGTTAGACCTTTTGGCTTATATATTTTCGTTGGTTATTTCTTTCACCGAATTGGCGCAGTAAGTGTTTGATGATCGTTGCAAAGTTTTGATTTTTAATTAAATTTAAGATTGACATGTGGGAAAAAATTGATTTTGGGTGAATTTGTGGGTTATAGGGCAAGTGGGGTTTGTAAGAAATGGAGAAAAGCTGTGAATCAATCGATGGTGAGAAGAGAATCTCTGAGCTTTGCTGGTTGGAAAATGGACGACGATTCCACCTCTCGTCTCCTACATCTTGCTTACAACCTCAAAGAACTCGACATGTAATCTCTCTCTCTCACTCACTCTCTGCTTGTTGTTAATGATCGCGATTTCTGAGCTTGATTTGACCTTCAATGGCGGATTTTAATCACTTTTGAGAGTCGAAACATTGTGGTGGATTGTGAAGATTTTCCGAAACTCTGGTCAAGTTTTAAACTTTACCTTTTGTGTTTTGAGGATATTGACTCTCTGTTTCTTCATATAGTTTTATGTTTTCTCTGTCTGTTATATTAGATCTCGAAGCAGATGGGGTTGTCATATAACTGATAATGGTCTTTACCAAATAGCTTCTGCAAGATGCGTGGCCAATTTAAGCTCAGTCTCGTTATGGGGCATGACCGCCATTACTGATTCTGGTGTTGTTCAACTGGTACTGTAATGCCGTTTTATGTGAATTTGGAATCTTTAAGATTCATTTATCATCTCAAAGAATCTTTTTTTGTTTTTGTTTTTGTCTCCTGAATTGATTTGATAGATATCAAGAACTTCTTCCTTGCAACACCTTAACATAGGAGGAACGTTCATCACCGATGAGTCTCTCTTCGCTATTGCAGAACACTGCCATCATCTTAAGGTAACCATATCCTCTTTTTTATCTGAAATCACAAGAATGGCTCTCAAAATCGGATCTTTTATGCGTTGTGCAGACAATCAGTATGTGGTGTTGCCGCCATGTGACAGAGAATGGCCTTCTTGTTCTTGTTAACAAATGCACAAAACTGGAATCCATCAACCTATGGGGAACTAGGATTCCTGTGGATTGCTTCATTGCTTTACTTACCATCAGTCCTGCACTTCAGATCAAACCCATTCAATCGCTCCTCAATGCTCAGAATCCACCACCATTGTTGCATGCTGCTTAGTGTTTGTTACGTTTCTCTTGTTTGTTGCTTTGCCTTGTACATAGCAATTCATAAAAATTGTAATCTCCATATACCTTCTGTGTTCTCTCTCATCAATAAGATTATATAAATTATTCAGTAAAGTTTCCTATTGAAGTAGCATTGTGCTTTTCTCTAGTCTCTCTCTCTATATATATAAGTTGCAAAGGATTCAACATAAGCTGAAGACACACATACACAAGATCTCTGCCTATAAATCTGCAGTCTAGAATACAAGAATCAAATCAGAAACTCTCTTTCTAGGGCAAACTCATGTTTCCTGGACTTAGGATCTCTCATTCGTCTATATCAAGATTCTCTAACCTAAGAATCTCTCCAAGTGGGTTGGTTGGTTGTGTCATAGTAGAAGCATCATCATCAACAATAGAATCCATGAGAAGAACAAGACAACAATGGTGTTTGGTGAGTAGGCAACAGCAGCTAAGGATCTTGAGAACTGAACTGAACCTGAGTAGGTTCCAGCCGTTGAACCCATGTTTGGAGTTGTTGTCTGAAGAGTAACATTTTTGCACGTGCCATAAGCTGCTTCTGGCTGCAAACATCAAACATAAGATCTCATATTTCATATTCCATATAAAGTAAGCGAGAGTAAAGAAAGCTATCATACCTGGCATGCAGCAAGCGTTTCACAACCGCAAACAACAGGCCCATTCATTCTGTCCAGAATTTCGAAAACGCCTCCTCCGTCACTTCTCTGCATTAATTTTTTTATTGTTAGTGAAACTCGTAAGACAAATGTCATAATATATTAGTTTCCATGATTGAATCAGTAGTACCATGTAGAAGTTAACAGCAAGAAAGTTTGGCATTCTATTCCCTGCTGACTTGAGACAGGTCCCGACCATCTCAGCAAGTGGAGCTGAGTGTTCCTTGCAAGCGTCTTTCTCAATCGGATATGTCGGGAAGTAGTTCATCAAGACAAGCGACGAGCTTTTTGAGTTCAAAGGTTGTGACTCTTTCCTGTTCGGACAAGAACCTCGCTTCACCCCTGGATCTCCGGCTAGGGAAATTGGCAAAAGAAAAGTGATTCAAAGACAATGTACACACACAGAAGAAAAAAGATATAAACTTTTTGAGAGATGATACTACTCACATTCATTTTCGAGCATGTACCTCCATTGATACGCAACGCCTTCTTCATCTTCTTTGGCAGCAACAGAAGTGAAAACCAAGAGCCTGTGGTTCTCTTGCACCATATCAGTCACAGTGGGCCAATCTTCTCCCTTTTTAGGCATTTTCGAAACAGGAAACCAGTACTTGTCCAAACCAGCGTTGGCGAACAGAGTTGATAAGCCTTTAGGTCTGTGCACATAATCCTCAATTATAATAGTAACAATCTCTGTTGGATTCTGACTCAAGAACGCCTCAACTTCCCTCAATGTGTTAATTGCAGGTTGCTGATAAACCAAAGAAAACAGATTTCACATATTACTAATCCGTTCCGGTTTCAAGCTTTGGATCCAAAAGTAATAATAAGCTGAAAGGTAAGATTTTACAAAGGCGGTGAAGTTGAAACATTGCCCTCGAAGCGAATGGCAAAGCCAGATATCGTTGTTGAAGTCATACATATCCAGCATTAATCCTCTCACTCCATTCTACAGCAAATTAACAGAAAAAAAAAACCCACATTTCAAGGGTTTTACTTTTACACACACAATAAAAGTAAAAGAGGATTTGCCAAAATAAGAAACTTGGAAACAGGTGAACAATAAATAATGAGGGCATTACTCTGAGCTGATTAGTAACAGTATCTTCTTGATTGTAGAATGTAATCCTCTCAACACCTGGCAAAGGCGGTTGATTCGCATTGCTAAAAGCATTATGAGTCATTAACCATGTGTACTTGTTAAAAGCCAATCCATTGATCTACAATTAATAAAAAACACAAATATTCATCACCACAAGGCAAAGCCTATCTTCAAAGCTCAAAACTTTTGGTACAACCAAGTGATATAGACTATCTTCTGATACAACCAAAAAGAGCTCAATTAGAGGAAGCAAATCTTACAATGGAAGTGGGAATTGTGGCTTGGCCTCTGGTGCAAATGGGTTTAGTTCTTCCAACAGCAGGACAGTTCCCACAGTATAAACCTGGAACACAGTCAGTGGCTGAGGAGCATGACTCCAGCATCTGAGAAAGAAAGAAAATTGCAAGATCCCTTGAGATTCAGACCCGATTTGATAGACATAAACAGGAGTAATAAGCAAAGAGAATCAAGAACTTCGAGACCTGGCAATTTCCATTAGAGCAAGCAGATGAAACGGAGAAGCATAAGGAGAAAGAAAGTAGAAGCAGAACAGAGACAGTTACGGGTCTGCTTAGGCCCTTGATGCACGCCGACATCGCTCCGTAGCTTATGCAGAGAGAGAGAGAGAGAGCAATCTGAATGATCTTTCGATCTACTGTTGATTGGGGTTTTAAGACAAGACAAAAGATGTTTTAGATACTAAAACGCGGGCTTCATCGATTTGTTAATCAAACTTAATGTTCTCGAAGAGAGGATATAAAAGAAAAAGGTTAGCTTTTTTTCTTGTTTTCTTCGACAAGGTTGAATCTTTTTCCCACCAGTCCTTAATTCCCCAGATAAACTCAGCAGAGAAGATAACCCACTTGGAAAGTAGTTCGATTTAGGGAGAAACACCGTTTTTTTTTTAACATTACAATAAATAAATCAAAACTACAGTTTCTGTTTTGTCATTAAATACGTTAACCTTATGAGAAACAATGATCTTGAAAGAAATTGTCAAGATAAGCAATCATAGTTATTTATTAACATTTCACACATGTCTACACATTTATCTTTCTATAAATAATAAATATCTCTGCTGTGTAGAAATTTTGCTAGATTTTCTTATTTGTTGTAGTGATCTACCATATATATTTTTAGTAGTATTTCACAAATCAATACTTCTTTCATTTACCGAATTTTTGGTCCTTGGCTAACTTTTGTATCGTACCCTTGATTTTTATTTGTTATCTTTTTTTTTCCGTTTTGGCCGACGGTGCTCACATGCGTGGGGACACTTGTTTTGTTGCTTCTCTAAAGGAAAAATGTTACACTTTGGTGATCGTACAAAAAAACTGATATAAACACCTATTTCTGATAAAATATATAAATGCAGAAAAACATTTTCAACGTAAATTATAGCTAGCGCTGTCAAAAAAATATATAATCCGATAAAAACTGTGACTCTACAGTAAAATTCATTGTGAAACTGAAGCATATATATATATATTCACCACCATTGGTTGGTTCCTATATCACAAAAATACTTTTCACAATACTCACATCATCTCTTGTAACTACACAACCATGCATGCGTTTCAGACAACTTAGAATACTTAACAATACATGAAACTAAATCATCACAACAGGAAACAACACTCTGTGTCTGTGTCTGTGACATCTCTAACGACTAACATAGACAATTTTGGTAAGAGCTTCCTCATTTTCACGTCGCTTCACATATGTATTGGACAGCATAAACTAAATGTGACAATCCAAATATCGACAATACATAAAAAAAGCTAAAAGCCAATCCTTCAATACATCATCTCTGTAATATATATGTCTTCTTTTGACATTTCTACATGAAACTCTCACACACTTAGTAAAACGAGACATGAAAAATCCTACCAGACAACAAAGCAAGAACACGAGTTCAGTTTCTAGGCTTCACTATCTAATCTCTAAATCGAAACAGTCACATTCCGAAGATGACGAATGCCTACCTCGCTAAGCCAATAATGCCTTTTTTTGAACCCCATTTACGTACCTTACTGGGCTTACGTTAGTGGGGCTCAAACCCTCTCTTTTAAAGCCCTAAGACCCAAGTAATGGAATCAATTGATGTTGAACTTCTTGTTGTGCATGTAGTAGCACTTATATATAAAGCCAAAACTTTTAATAGTTTTAATACTTATTCACTATAAATTGGTATTTTCTATTGAAAAAATGCAATAGAAATATTTTCTATATAAAAAAAGCAATCTCCCATATATTAAAGACATTGCTAAAGCAGGTTATAAATTTCCAAAATCCAACAATAATTCCATATTAATTAGCTGTCTATATTTCTTTTTAAATTTCTTAATATTTTGGACTCCAAAATAACCAACACCTGTAACTCTTGGTCAATTCTCCCTTAATTTATTGTTATATATGCGCCTTTTTCTTTAAGTAACTCTTTAACCATGGTTTAGGAATATATATATATATATGTGTGTTATTACTTATCTCCTAGATTAAAATGAGATAGAGTGCTTCAGTATCCTCTTGTGAAGTTGTGATACACAAAATGTGTTCATAAGCTTGTTGGTACTTTCGACCTTTAAAGCGTTTTTTCATCAAACACACACTCTGTTACTATCCGTTCAATTTCTATCTGCGAGGTATGAATCCATGTACTAAATCGTTCCAGTTTTTCTGTTGTTTGTACGTATTCCATGTTGCTCAGGATATTTTATATATGAGTGCTTTATATTGCAGATGATTTGAGTTAGTTTATGATGGTTTACGGTTTAAATACATTTGCTAGATTGTTTATTATTGTATATCACAAAGACAGTGTCTGAATCGAACGTGATCAGTTAGAACATTCATTTATCAAAAATTATAACCACCTTATGAGAATACATAAGATACAAATAAAGAAAATCACTTAGTCGAGATACCTTTTTCATGCTCCTATCCTCCATTTTACATTTCGAGTTTAAAGAAAAGTATTTCTAGTTAAAGGTATAACTTGTAGTAGTCTCCCAGAAAACTAAATTTAATTCGTCATATTATGGTTTTGAACTAAATTTGGAATATAAATTTTTTAAACGAGGTATATTAATATATTTTGTGATTTGTATTTTTGCGTGATTTTTATCAAAATAAAGTATCCAGCCCCTCCCAGTATTTGATTAGAATTAATGGTGAAAGTTGAAAGTGTTAGTTATCTTTATTAGTATACCTTAATTTGGTCCTTTATAGTCTGAGTAAGATAATATATTTTTTTATAGTCTATATTAGTTATGGATCAAAACGGAGACAATCTTCCGAGACCGGATAATGCTTTTAGCTTCCAAAGGTTACTATGTGGAGACGACTGGCATCAGTGGGACACTTTCCCCCCGGCTGTTGATAGCAGTGCCAACGCACCAGATCCAACAGCTGAGATGAATCATGATCATCCGACAATAGAGTCTGATCCACTCCTAATGACATTTACAAGGGTTAATCATCTAACAGCTGAGATGAACCATGATCATCCGACAATAGAGTCTGATCCACTTCTAATGACATTTCCAAGGGTTAATCATCTATTTAATTATCTATTCGTTTTTCTTGTGAGATATTAAGTTTCTGATTATAATATACACTTATTGAAAATATATAGGAAGAAACAGCCGTGCAGTGGTCACAGCCACTGACCAATGAACAATTTGAAATACCATTACAGCAAGAAGATATGGAGATGTATTTTGATGAGTTCACCTTCACGTACGAGGTATAGTAGGTCATTTATACACTAGATTAAGATTCCACAAATACATAATTATCCATTGTATCTATAATAATAAAATAGATAACAATTTAGACTTGAAAAATAAATTTTGCTACGTAAAAGCTTTCACGTAAAAAAATTATATATTAGGTAACACATAAATTTATATTTTCCATAAAAGTTAGGTAATTTTTACAAAAATAAAAAATCTTTATTACAATATATAGAATATAAACTTTCTATCGTTTATAGAATATTATTAAATATTTTTTGAGCAAATGATATTTCATTAAAAAAATTATCAAATTTTTGCGGCAAAATATATAAGATTAGAACCCTAAAAGAAGAGTTGTGAGATTAACATTGTTGAATATTACACTTACAAATTGACTCAACTTGAAATTTACATAAATTTTCAATTTTCAATGTTTTATATTTTAGTTTTGAGAATACCATGTTATTAGTTTCAAAAATCTATGCATTTCCTTTTTACTTATTATTCTGAATATAGTTCTTTTTTCAAAGTATCAACATACATCACGATCAAAACACTAATAGCTATAATAATGCTACACACCGATTTACAATGAAAGGTATTGAACAATTTATAAGAAGATGAATACATATCTTTTCTTATAATTTTCAAATATAAAAACCGTTTGATTCCTAGTTATAGAAGATTAGAAGAACTCTTGTTAGTAGAAACGATATCTACCCATTTGGTTTCCTTATATCTACCCATTTGGTTTCCTTATCAAAGAGTTGAATACGTAAGGTGGAAACGTAATTATAGAAGTCTTTATATATCCAAAAGTTTACTAATCCAACTTTTTATAAAGGAGTTATTGGAACTCGGTGAGCAGATAGGAGATGTCTGCACTGGTTTAAGCGCTGAAACCATTGATGGAAATTTATGTCGAAGAAAATACGAAAACTGTTGTGGTGGAACGGAGAAATGTGTGATATGTCTGTGCGAGTTGAAGTACAATGATGACGCTTCTAAACTCGGATGTGGGCATGACTTTCACTTCGAATGCATCAAGAATTGGCTAATGGTCAAGAACTTGTGTCCTCTTTGTAAGCAAGAAGCTCTTTAATTGTTTCATATGAAGTTAAAAATATGAATGTATTCAGATGTCAGCTTGGTTTTTAAGTTACAGGAGCCGGTTTGTTCATTGAATATTTATTATCTATCACCCAAAACAAACAACCGATATTTGTTTCTTTTTTTTTTGTAATTTGACAAAAATGGTGAAACTTTTGCAAGGCCTTACTTTTGAAGTGATTGTTCTTTTTAATGTGTAGTCATAATAATCATTAAATTGTAATTATTTATGAGACTATCAATATCCTATCTTATCAAATACTCTTATTTTGTCAACCGTTCCTTTACTGATTTTCTACCCATCACTGCTCAATATTACACTTATCTTTTTTTTTTTTTTTGTCAATCCAATATTACACTTATCACATCGGAAAAAATAATATTATATTCTATGCACTTTTACAAGGTGGTCCAAAAATGATAATTAAAGGTTAAAAAAAGCTGCTCACTATATATTTGGTTTTCAATACACAATTATTTTATTCATAACTAAAAAAGTTGTGAACTAAATATAAATTGTTAACGGGACGATTCATACACAGTAGTACAGTAATGTTGTGAGACACCAGGTTATGTCTAGAGAGATTCGCCTCTCACCCTTCAGAATCCTCACGCGCGTAAACCACGCGCTTACCTCCCCGCCTATAACCTTTATTATATTACGAAAAGACTCAGTGAGTAGTGTGAGACTACGCAGAGTGAGAGAGAGAGATGGGCAATCCCGACGACGGTGATCGTCTTCCTCCTCCATCTTCTTCCGACGAACTCTCGAGCGTTCTCCGGCAGATTCTGTCCCGTGCCCCGATAACTCAACCTTCGTCGTCACCACCGAGGAGAGTCGTTTCCTCCGCTGAAATGTTCGACCGGACCTTCCCTTTCGTTCCCGGCGGAGCGGTTTCTTCCGCCGCCTATAAAGTCGCTGGCGAAGACAAATGTGCTTTCGAAAACAAGGTAAGCTAACATTTTTAAGCTGTCGAGAAACTTCACTCGCTTCGTTTATGAATTAAGCTAACATTTCTTTGTAATGGTAACAACACTAAAGAGAAATGGAGGAGCTAAACATCGAAATTCGTTGAAGAGAAACAATGATGCACAATTCCACAACTTGTCTGAAAAGGTTCTGTCTTTTAATCTTCTAAAGATTCTCGATTTGAGAAAGAAAAGCAATTGTGATTTTAATTTATAGAATCTGAAATTATTTGCAGAGGAGGAGGAGCAAGATCAACGAGAAAATGAAAGCTTTGCAGAAACTGATACCCAATTCCAACAAGGTAAATGAAAAAAGTTGGAATCTTTCTACTTCTGAATACAATCGTGAGAAACACCGTTATGCTTTTGTTTGTTTGTTTGTAGACTGATAAAGCCTCAATGCTCGATGAAGCTATAGAGTATATGAAGCAGCTTCAACTTCAAGTGCAGGTTTTTGGCTTTACTAAGATCATATACAACCAAATTATAATTTTTTGTAAAACTCAGCGCTTATTTGATCATACAATGGATAATGCAGACTTTAGCAGTCATGAATGGTTTAGGCCTAAACCCAATGCGATTACCACCAACACAGACAAGGATCAATGAGGCCTTACACATGCAGACTCTGCTTGGCGGTTCTCACTCGCTTGTTCACCGTGAACCACCCGAAGCAAGTCAAGAAATGTGCTTTTCCGCTGCGGCTCGTCTTTAAGAAAACACCTTAACAGTGATGTGATGTTCCTCTAGTATCTGCGACAGTAACAGGAGTCAACAAATGTTTTTTCCAGTCTAGTATTGGGTAAGATTTTCAGTGTTCAGTTATAGTTACGCTAATAAACTTCAGGACTGAACAAAACTGAGTAGTTTGATTATAATGATGTCAGAAAAAAGATAATATAAGTGACTGATTTAATTACATGGAGATGATTAACAAAGCTATCAAATGGCTATGTCCGTTAGTTGCAGCCATCCATAAGCACACCGGTCTCGAATACTTCGAGCCATGGATGCTGCTGACTCAACGGCAGGTCTTATCTTCGTCATTGCTTTCTCTACTTGCATTTTGACACCAACATCCATCTGCTATATTTCAAATGGCGGAGAGGTTATTTAGGGATCTAGACAACACAAACTGGTTAAGATATTTACTGATATAAGAAGATCGTAATGCATAAACCTTTTCTAGAGAGCACTTTGTGTCTAAGATGTGGCAAAAGTATGACAGCTGCTTGTACAACTCTGCTTCAGTGTACTGTAATACGACGCGGCTTCAAGTCAAAAATTGTTCAACGAAGTAACAGAAATATAAAAACTCTCATCGGTTCGATAAGCGCCTCTACCTTTCTTAAGAGGGTCCCGTTGCAGTTCGGATAGTTTGGGCAAACTGTTCCCCGTTCACGGTCACCAAGCAGACGAAAGTTGGGGCTGCGAGTCGTGTGCTTGCAAGACTCATCGTCACACTGTTGAAGGCAAAATGTACAAGAAAAGCTTCATAAGCAGGACTTCATAACGACATGTGTTCAGATCATTGATATAAACGAGGCGAGTAAGAAGGTTTTATGTACCATCATTATGCCTTTGTAGTACGTTGACACAAACCCATCAATCTGCCTTTTCACCTGAAAGGCATCATAATGAGTTGTTAAACGAAGCATTTGTTCCACAGGCCAAATCAGAAGAAGGATACAAAGTTTTTATTTTGAGAAACTTGGAAATATGGTCCTTGTCAACAAAGCTTGCCTACCTGGTTAGCTATCATTGCAGGGGATATTCTTCCCGTACTACTTTCTGGTTGACATTTGGGGCAATGCAGTTTAAGCCAGAATGTAGAATCAGATTCATCTGTTTCAGGTGCTGCAGATTTCTTAGTGATTGACGCACAAACAGAACTAGTAATAGATGGACAGTTAAAAGCAGCAGAGCAGCTGGGGCATGTTAATGCTAACGGCTCGCAGCTTTTATATCTGCATTTTTTACACGTATATTAAGTTGTTGCAGATCTTGAATTCTGGGAATATTGTAAATCGTGGAGAAAATATATTATAGGGACGAGATATCATTATACCTTTCTTCATCGCTGGTAGCAAACAAGAGGGATGTAGAATGATCACTGCCCGAAGCATCGTTTGATCTGCTTCGGTACTACAAAAAAAAACATTAATTCCAATCATTATACCATGACCTGAGATCATCAAATAGGGAATCGGATATTGCCTTACATAAAAGCTGTTTTACCTTTGATGGGTCAAGTCCTAAACACTCGGCTAGACGCTCAGGACTTGTGCCCTGAATCTCTGCGCATAGACGAGACACCACCGGATGAATCTGCTGTGCCAAGTAGTAATCTATGTCAACCAACCATCTGCTGTCGTCTGATTTCACCTCATCAGGATGCCTAGCACGTTCGGCAATCCCTGCTGAGCTGGCAGAGCTAGCATTACCCTGCACAGAGGAAGGGTATAAGATTTAGTAGAAAGACGATTTGTCGTCCGATGATTTTAAGCTGGTCTTCTGTGTTGGGAACCTGTTCATAGCAGATTATGTACGGTACAGTATCCTTAGCATTGAAACCTTCTTTATAACCGCGTTGCCTCATTCTGAGTGCGACCTGAGAAGAACGATTCAACCACACAATCAGAGATTTCAGTGAAAATGTGAAAAAGTGTAAAATATTAAGCTTTAATTTCGGGGAGCAATACTGCCAATAATAGCTCTCATACTCACTTGAACGTGTGGCTGGCTTTTGGAATCTGGATAAGCTTCTGGTTGCTTAGTCAATGCCTTGGTGATGACATACTTCTCAAGTGCAACTTGCCCATTTCTCATTTCCTCTTTTATCTGTTGCATGGACAAATCAATAAGTATATGATGATCCAGAAAAGAAGATTAATTTAACGAAGTTTAATAAATGTTAACAAAGGTTACCTTCATAAGTTCGTTATGAATTGCTTCAACAACATCCTCACATGACCTGCAAAGAAGACAAAACTTGTTGTGCTTTGCATTAGAGAGTAAAAATAGTGTTCTTAGTAAATGTTTTAGAACATACCCTCCATACAAGATTTTAGCCAGGCATAAATCTCCAATTTCCTTAGAGATCAAGCTCCAATCTCGACGAACCATGTCCACACCTTTTCTTTCAATGTCCTGCATTGAGAATGCATCTAGTACCCACAAATTTTCTAAATTAAAAGGTGGCCAGAATGTGTAAATTAAAGACTACCTCGCAAAGCTTCCCGTCCTTAAACTGTAACTTGACGGCAGCATACTTCTTTTTTCTAAGAAGGAGCATTCTCTTATATATGCCATCGCAGTCAATTTTTAGACATCTATACTTCTTATTGACCTAGAATTTAAAGAGAGAAGGTGTGAGATCAATATCCAATGTCTGCTTTTTTACAGTGTAAATTGTTTATAATTTACTTCAAGAAGCACTTCCCAAGAACAGTTATACCAATTTGAGTTCTCCACATGCATCACGAAACCAACATCAATGTTACAGACATCTAATGCGTATTGGTCTAATCATAGAAAGGTTTGAACTAAGGGTGCTTCATAAGGTGAAAAGCTGGAGACAAATCTATTATCCAACCTACCTCTTGGATGACTTTTGTTTTAATGGCTTTCACCTCTTCAATATCATCTAGCCCACTGTGAATCATGATTGAATCTGTATCACCGTAAATTACCTGCGTAAAAGCAAGATGTTCAATTACGATGTTACACATTACGTTAATTTCTCTACTATATGCATTTCGTGGGACTCAAAAGTATTGGAGATACCTCTAGGTTTAAATGATTCTGGACAAGATCCACGGTTCTTTGCAGGATCTCCCTTCCCTGCAATGTTAGGGAAGCAATCGTATCACACAAGAATAGCGAAAGATAAGGAAAAATCTGTCAGTAGAAAACACAGAAAGCAAAATCTACCTGCAGTGTTATGAGCTCTGCTAAAGGCTTAGCGTAGAATCTTGAATTAGAAAACCCCAGACATCCATACATACTATGTTTAAAATAAATAAATAAATTAAGGACAATAATATCAAAATGTGGTGATTAACCATTATTTTCAGGCACAAGCTAAAACAATAAATACAAACCTATTAGCTGTGAGCTTTAATGCCTGCTGGCGAATGTCAAGCTCCCAGTATTTGAGACCTGTTTCCTTCTTCATCTTTAGTTTGACGCTTTTCCTTATACTGACCAAATGTTCCATCAACTAAAACAAAGACAGCTAGTGAGATTCATGATCTAATCTCTATTAGACTGGGCATATAACAGAGCAAAGAGAGAAAACTAGATTCGTGGCACCGAAAAATGCATAGAGCAATGGTATTAGAATCTATAATTTCAAGATTAGTTTACTTCGAACTACAGAAAGCATCAATCACTAATACAATACTGATTAGCTGGGTCACATTATTCTGAGGATTTTCTGCGCATATACCTTGGGAGATAAGGGAAAGGAAACGAGGCACATTATTATTTTTGTTTGTTGAGTATTTACTTCTTTCTATCAATTTCTGATTGCGTTGGGGTGGGTTAACTTATAGATTTGGTATCTGAAGACCTACAACAAATCGAGCATTTTTACAGAATGGAGAAAAAGTCGCAATAAAATGGTTGGTTAATACCTTTGGAAGAATTCCAGGGGTCTGACTCAAAGGTAGACGAGGAACCCCGTCTTCTGATCGTGGTATAGTCGTGAAACAGATATTATATTCCTGAAATTACCATGACCGTTATCCACAGAGCAAGGGGAAACAGCAATCCAAGGCTTGAGAAATAGAAAACAATCTACTAACCTGTATAATAGAAGGGTAAAGACTATTGAAATCAAGAAGCAACACATATTTGTCATATAAGCCTTTCTTTGGCTCCAAGACCAGTCCACCAGCGTAGGCTGGACCCTTTTTTGTTTTGCCGTCTTTAGACGGATCATTTTCCAATTCACCTATGTGTTCCTCTGGACCATGATCGATTCTTCGTTTTGATGACTTTATTTCTTTCATACGTTGCGAAATTTTGTCTGGGAGTATGTACTTTTTCGAGTGGAATGTATGTAGTAAGTAGTATTCGATTCTCTGCGCCCTGGCTCCCTGGTAATGAACAAAATAAATGCATGAATCTCCCAGTGCATAACTTGAGAAAGAGAGAGAGAGACCACTTAGATTGCCAATAAGGAGTCTAAGGAGTCATTACCTGAAGAGTTTTCCCCCAAAGATTGCCACTTATGTTAGTAAGCTGGAGAGTGAGAGGAAGAACACTTAGATGAAACATGAGCTCCATGGATAACCATGCATCTGTCTCACCACATTCAATCTGAACCAACGAAAACCAAAAAGGTTACAACAAGCAAGCAATTGAGATGCGGTCATTACTCATTAACCTTATGTCAACTGATGTTATCTGCAATTCATTTAATTCTTCTCCAGTATACACTAAATTATTTCGCTGGCAAGGAATAAGAACCTATCGCCCCTAATGAAGTAGTACCAACTCATTTGCATAAAAAACATGAGTGGCCTAATTGAAAAACTTACAAGTTCCACAAGTGTTTTGGATGACTGAAACATTTTGGGAATATCATTAGGCGCTATCTCTTTCCTGTCGCGGTTCAGCTGTGTCTTTGAAAGGTCTGTTAACGAATAACTGACCTGCAAGAACCAGATGCTTATACATGAGGAATTGAGCTTCAGCTCACTGCTTGTA